GGAGGGGAGGGGAGGGGAGGGGAGGGGAGGTGTGAGGGGAGGGGAGGGGAGGGGAGAATCAGAAGCCCAGAATGCAATGGAGCAAGGCTTTGGAAGTTTACAGGAAAATGATTTCCCCTGAGAACCCCCAGCCAGCCAAGATGATCCATGAAGGACGAGGAGGGTAGAGAAGGCACAAGAAGACACAAGGTACCGCTCAGTCAGCTTCTGGGTAAGTTACTAGAGCAGGCTTTCCAGAAAAACGATGAGCTAAGGCGAGAAAGAGGCACCTGTGGAAGCCCCGGATCTCATCCAGGAAAGCAATGGAGCTGCCTAGGTGGTGGCTAGGCGGGAGAGCGAGCGCACAGCGTGCGGGCCACAGCTGTGCGAGGAGGCTGCAGGAAGCACCCAGACACGTCTCCGACAGGGAGAGACTGGAAGGATGTGTGGTAGACAGGGTGAGACGCAAGAAGGCAAGAGCCCAGGAAAGCCAAAGAATAATTTCTTAAAAACTGATAAAAGAAATGCAGGAGACCACACAGTTGACAAACATGGAGGCAATCTGCAGGAGAACGCCTTAAAACCAGAAATAGTTACAAGAGTTAAAACGGTTCTGTCTGGATACAGGACCTGGACGAAGGTGGTGGGATGGGAAAACACAGCTCTGCAAGGCCCCTGAGCTGCTGGCTGGATTCAATCACTCAGGCACACTGGTGGTGCAACTCTAAAAACTCATTTTAAGAGAATCGAGGAGCCAGTGTTGTGGCACAGCAGGTTAAGGAGCTCTGCCTGCACTGCCAGTATCCCTGTGGTGCTGGTGTGAGTCCCAGACGCTCCACTTCTGATCCAGCTCCCTGCTAACGCACTGGGGAAAGCAGCAGAAGATGGCCTAAGTGCTTGGGCCCCTGCCACCCACCAGGCTCCTGGCTTCAGCCTGGCCCAGCCCTGTCCACTGCAGCCACGGGCAGTGAATCAGTGGATGTAAGACTCTACATCTGGCCGGCGCCGCGGCTCACTTGGCTAATTCTCCACCTGTGGCGCCGGCACCCCAGGTTCTAGTCCCGGTTGGGGTGCCGGATTCTGTCCCAGTTGCTCCTCTTCCAATCCAGTTCATTGCTGTGGCCCAGGAAAGCAGTGGAGGATGGCCCAGGTACTAGGGCCCTGCACCCGCATGGGAGACCAAGAGGAAGCACCTGCTCCTGGCTTCAGATCGGCGCAGCGCCACCGTAGTGGCCATTGGGGGGTGAACCAATGGAAAGGAAGACCTTTCTCTCTGTCTCTCTCTCTAACTCTGCCTGTCAAAAAAAAAAAAAAAAAAAAAAAAAAAAAGACTCTATATCTGTCTCTCCTTCTCCCTGTAACTCTTTTAAATAAATAAATCTTAAGAAAAAAAAAAAAAAGAAAAACATTAGACAAGAGAGACTCTCATGACAAGCTGAGAGTCTTATGTAAGTGAAAAGTGAAATACGTGCATTCTCAGATCAGTGACTCCAGGTATGCCCACTACTTACTGAAGAAGTTCATTGGCCTTGAGTATGAAGGAACCCACAGCGGTAATAGCATCTAAAGGAAATAAAGAAATATCACTTGTGAAATAAGCAAACTGTACTTAGTGTACTCTACCCAGAAAAGAAATCCCTACCTTCGATGCCTGTGGCATCCAGTCCCAGGGGCTCGTATTTTTGTTTCCACGAAGCCATTCCTTTCAACTCACTCAAATGGTACAGCAAAGACTCAGAGCCACTGCCGACACAAGGCAGAAATAAATGAATACCGTTACCATGGTCAAGGTGGCGGGCAGCTACTATGTCCGCTAAACACGCCTAAATTTCCAGAAATAAAAACAGAAAGCGACTTTAACTTTCTTCCTAAGAGAAATAATTTTCTCTTAAAACTGTAGCAAAAGTCATTTGGTGATCATGAGTAATGGAATGCATACATGACCATAAGATTAAATTTTGCAAGATGATCAAACTATTAGTTCTGGCACTTGGCCATCTTGTTCACCCAACAGCTACGTATTCAACATTCAACCAATACTTCGTCAGCTCTGACTTCCAGGCAAGCCTGTGATAGACAGTGGGGACATGGATCCGAGCTGAGGGCCGAAGAGGGAAAGTGGAGAGCAGGGCGGTGCGCGCCAGGCAGGAGATGGCAAAGGCCCTGCGCGGGAGACAAAACATCGAGTCTGGGAAACTAAATGGCACTAGCGTAGGCAAAGCAGGGCGCTAGGTAGGCTACAGGCCATGCAAAGATCTTGGAGTAAGAGAGTAACACGATTAAATCCACTCAGGAACCTACACCCGAGGCACTCAGTGTGGGCTGCAAAACAGCAGTCCAGAGGATGCTCGCTGATCCTCGGGAGACAAGATGTGGCTAGGGAGAGGTACTAAGCATACAGGGATTCTGCAAAATTTAACCCGAACGCTCAGCACCCACTTGCAAACTGCTTCACTCAAGTTGCTGTGCATGGAAACAGCGTGAGACTTGAAGTTCTAGGACCAAATCCCAGTTCTGACACTGAGTAATTTTGGGCCAGCCACATAACACATCCTAAATATAAGTTTGCAGTTTCCACTGTGGAAAATGAGGATAATCCTAACAAACAGCCCGCAAAGGTGTTAAATCAAAAAGTACACAGTAGGCTTTAGAAACTGTAAAATACATGGAAACACTTAACTTCACTGCTCACACGAAGGTTGATGTCCAATTCCAATTCTCACCTGAGTGAGAAAAAGACCCAGATGGGGTCTAGACTCATGAAAAGACTTCAAAAATTACTTCATAAAGCAGAATTACTATAACTGATTCTCAATCTTGGGTTCCCCAAGATTCCCCTCAAATGCCAATGTAGTAACTTTAGATGGAAAAGGCTAGAGCATTGCCAAATGATGAAGAGAAGGCCACAGGAAGACCAATGCCATGTACATCTGGGTGCAATACCAACAAATTCTACATCACCTCCATACCTCTGTAAGTGACTTATAACCAACTTTTGTATACTGGAATATGATGATTCGATAGACTGGCCAAGCTTTTTTAAGCCCTAATTAAGAGAAGAAAATATATTTAGCATTGAACCTGGATACCACATGCCATTCAAAATAAAACAAAATTTAGTGTGTTCATAGCCATTAAATATGTAGATACTTAAACTGTACCTTTACTGTTAACTGGTTCATTAAGAGAGTCTGCAGTTCAGCACTACAATGAAAAAGATAGCATTCTTAATCACTTCTCTATTCAAAATCTGAATCCATCATTTAAAACTTTTGAATTTCATAGTACAAACAAGATTTTGAAATAAAAAGAAACAGCCTAACAAAAAGTTAAGACTGAGCCGGCGCCGTGGCTCAATAGGCTAATCCTCCACCTTGCGGCGCCGGCACACCGGGTTCGAGTCCCGGTTGGGGCGCCGGATTCTGTCCCGGTTGCCCCTCTTCCAGGCCAGCTCTCTGCTATGGCCAGGGAGTGCAGTGGAGGATGGCCCAGGTGCTTGGGCCCTGCACCCCATGGGAGACCAGGAAAAGCACCTGGCTCCTGGCTCCTGCCAGGATCAGCGCGGTGCGCCGGCTGCAGCGGCGGCCATTGGAGGGTGAACCAACGGCAAAAAGGAAGACCTTTCTCTCTCTGTCTCTCTCTCTCACTGTCCACTCTGCCTGTCAGTATAAAACATGAGCAAAAGGAAGAACCTGAGGTTAAGACTGTTGTACTCAAAACAGAACAGAAGAAAAACTGGCAACACAAAGTTCAGAAACAGATTGAAATCTATTGGATACACTTGTGCTAACACAGCATTTCAAAACCATAGGGAGAAGTGAGCAGACTCAATAAATCAAACTAGATTTATCTGAATACTTAGGGGAAAAAAGTTAGCTTTCTAGGGCATACAACCAAGTAAATCTAGACTATGTAAATGGAATAAAACAGAAGAAAATACAGATCAATCTCTGAAAGCCCTTAAAACAGGAAAGGTCTTTTTAAGAGTAACAGCAGGTGCCATAAAGAAAGGTTGGCTTGGCTACATAAAAAGTTTAACTTTTTATATATATTAAAAAATACACACAAACAAAATGTGTGATCACATTTACATTTTTAAAAGTACACAGGAAAGCCTTGAAAGACATACTTTTGTTTGGTAATGTTCTAGAATTTTCTATGTGTGAAGCGGTGCGTACAGGTTTCTTTGTCATCATCTCCATTTACCAAACAGGAGGAGGAGAAGCAGAGCACCCACCCAACCCGAGCTCATTACCTTGCTTTCCCCCACAGCAGCAGGTGCATGAATTCATCCTGCACTGATGTGGTCGTGTTCTTTTCCTAGACAAAACAGTAACTGTGATACATGTTTTTGCAACTATAAGCACATTTATTTCAAATTAGAGGAACATGACTCTCTCTACCTCAACTTGCCTCAGATTCAGAACTGAAACTGACCACGTGGACATTAGTGCCAGGAGACAGCCAGCTGGCTTCTCCAATACCATCCTCATCCCCTCACCCTACCTCGGCCCCCTGAAGGGACTAAGGTAGCGCTCGTGGGACTGTGTTTAGCTCCCCCAGGCCTGAGTCTGATGGAAGGGGACGCCTGACGCCCGCGCTCCCAGTCCCACCGCAGAATCCCTCGGGCACACGCTGCAGCTGTGACGCTGGCTGCCACGAGCCTCCCCTGACAGAGGCGGAAGCAATGGGGCTGTCCAATCTTGGACTCAGCCTGCAAAACTGAGGGCGACGCAGACCTCTTCTCTCTAGACATTACTCAGCCTCAGGCATTCTGTTACAGCGGTGGCAGAATGACTAATACAGAGCCCTTTCAGCAAAGCTCTGAGAAAGCAGTGAGGTCAGACCAAGCCATCTGAAAAAAACTAAAGAGCTTAGCTGTTTGCAAATCAAAGCAATTTTTCTCATGTACTGCATAAAGTGAACACAGATGCCATGAATGCCTTTACATATTTATTTATTTGAGAGGCAAACAGAGAGAGCAAGCTCCTAGCCACTAACATGTCTGCAACGGCTGGGGCTGGGTTAAGAATAAAGCCAGGAGCCAGGAACCCAACTATATGAGCCATTGGTGCTGCCTACCAGGTCCACGTTAGCAGGAAGCTGAGACAGGAGCTGGAGGCGGGCACCAAATCCAGGCACTGCTGTGTGTGTCTCACCCTGGGCCAGACGCCCTAAGCACTCTAACTCTCCCATAGAAACTTAACGGGCATTACCTGCACAAACTTAGTGAGACGAGAATCCATCTGCATGAGGATCTCTTCCCATGCTTCACACATACACGTCAGCGACAAATTTATATACTGTTAAAAGAGTGTCAATGAAAAACATTTAAACTAGCACGCTCACTAGACAATATGTGCTTCTTATTGTCAAATGTTTCAGAGAAATCCAGAATTTACTTTCAATTACGCTTTTAACTCAGTTAAGCCTAAGCAGAGAAGATGATAGATAACGTTTCCTAATTACTTAACTATAAAGCACATGATGATTCTTTCAGCTTTCACAATAAAACATTCTTAAATTAGGTTCGTGCCTGGTAAAACAAATATCCCTAAGTTTTCCCAGGCCATAGCAGAGAGTGGGATTGGAAGTGGAGCAGCCGGGACTCGAACCAGCAGGTGTATGGGATGCGGGCACTATAGGCGGCGACTTTACCAGCTACGCCACAGCGCCGGCTCTGGGATAGTATGTTTCATGCACACTGACTGTCAAAATGTTGCTCTGCCAGCTAACCAGTTTTCAATGACAGCCCTTAAAAAGACTCTCTTGACTTCTGAGAATGAACAGCATGGCCACGATTCACTGTAGCTCCTCCTTCCAGATGCAGGGCACTTTTCTCCAGCCCTTGAATGTGGCTGACCTTGGATCCCTCTGACACAAAGAGCAAAGATGAACTGCCGAACTGAGGGCCTCCAAAGTCTTTGCACACTGCCGCCTGCGCCCTTTAGGTGTCTGCTGTCTGCTGCCATCATCCCATGTGCGCAAGCCTGTGCGGCCTGCTGGAGAATGGGGGGTGGGGGGCGGGGCAGGGACAGAGCCGCGACAGCCAAGGACACAGTTCGGCTTGCATGACCAAGCCTAGGTGAGATTAGCTGACCTAGCCCAGATCACCAGAACCTTCTGGCCAAACCCAACCCAAATTGCCAACCTAGGTGATTGTGAGCGCTAACCTGGGGTAGGTTTATTCTGAACAAAAGCTAACTCATATGAAGACTGGTTTTCCATTTTATTTGTAGTAAAGTGTAAATTTTATTTATTTTAGGGAATATTTTAAAAGATTTAAATTAGTTTTTGCTCTTCTTTTAAAGGTGTTAAGTAGAGTTGGGTGGAAATACAATCTCAGTTACGTTTCCTTCTTGCTTTAATGAACATAAGAAGATTAGGACTACACACTCCAACTACAGAAAGCTTTACAAAAGAAAATTCTGAACTTTTTAATTTATGAAACGTCGGATGCTTATGGTAAATATTCACATAAAACAAGCAGTAGATAAATACCTGTAAAAGAGCTGAAATGTGTGTAAACTTTCTGGCCATGCGAGTTACTTCAGGTAAGAAAGAGTATAACAGGTTGGTTTCAAGCTGTAGAATCAAGAGAAGGGAGTGAGTCAGTCAGATGCACTTGCAGCTTTTGAAGAGAAGTCCGTCCTGTCCAGCTTAAAAACAAAGAATCCGAAAGACTATGCCAGAACCGGGCTCCCTTTGAGCGTAGCAGCTCTGAGATTCCCCTCAGAACACAAACCTTAGAATTCTCTCACCTGTGGGCAACTCCACAGATCACTCTGAGTGATCAATCTCCCTGTGTGGCAAAAAAAGCATGGAATGATCTATTTTGTAACACTATTGTGAAGACATTAAAAATGGACATAGTTATGCATACAAATTTAAAGGAGTAGACGGGATTAAACGCTACTGATAAATATAGGAAAAGCAGCTATGAATGACATGTGCGTTGTGTGCACTAAAACTTGCCATTAAAGTACCCTTTCCACTGAGTGTGCACACGGCTGGGCGGTTAAGACTCCTGCATCCTGCAGGGGAGTACCTGGGTTAGATACCTGGCCCCAGCCCTCCTAGCACGCCTGAAAAGCGGCAGTGACAGCTCGAGCGTTGTGCTCCTGCCACTCACGTGGGAAACCCGGTCTGATTGAGTTCCTGGCTCCCCGCTTCAGCCTGGCCCAGCCCGACTGTTACAGGCATTTAGTGAGTAAACCAAACGATGGGAGATTGCTCTGTGTGTCTCTCTGCCTCTCAAATGAAAATAAAAAGATTTTTTAAAAAAATCTATTACACACTTCCCAGAAATAGAGAATCACTTCATTCTAGCCCAAATGGAATCCTGGCAATAACAGTTCCACAGAACCTTAACATGGAGAGCAAATGTGAACAATCCCCCTAGTGCATTCTCAGCAGAGAGCCCTCCGACACTCTGGATACAGGGGCTGCTGGAAGGCATTACACGTCACTTCTTCCATCTTTTTGTTGCACTTTTGTTTGAGAGTTCACACGTACTTACTTAGGTGGCTGGAATTTTTTTTTAATATGATTCTTTATTTATAAATTTTTATTTTTATTTTATTTGAAAGACAGAGAGAGAGACACACACACACAGATAGAGTGACGTCTTCCATCTGCTGGTTCAATCCCCAAATGTCCACAACAGTCAGGGCGGGGCCAGGTCAAAGCCAAGAGCCTGGACGTCCATCCAGGTCTCTCACATGGGTGTTAGGGACCCAATTACTTGAGCCATCACCTGCTGCCTCCTGGGATGCACACTAGCAGGAAGCTGGATCAGAAGCAGAGCAGCCAGGACCCGAACAAGGAACTCTAACAGAACGAGGGTATCCCAAGCAGCCACGTAAGGGCCACACCAAAACAACTGCCCTGCAACATTTAAGAGGAACACTTCGGGCAGACTTCTTGGGAAGACAAGGCTACGATCAAACTACTCTACAGGAGCTCAAACCACTTCCTCAAATGATACTACAAACAGCACACAACAAAAAAGTATCCTGCGGCCATTTTACACCAGAGGCAACGTGCTTGTTAAGGGCTCAGACCCTGGAGCCGGATTGTCCAGAATCACTTTCCAATTCTGAGGCAGTGAACAAGTTCCAGTTTTTCTGTGAGCCGGAAAACGACAGTCCCTACCCAACAGGTTGCTGCGAGGATTTAAATGAACTAGAAGCACTCAATGCTTGGCACATTGGTACGACAACCAATTAATGTAGCCATGAATAAACCATCAAAATACTGTTTATATGAGAATTACACTGGAGCATAAGGAAAATAAAATGGCATTCACCGTAACAGCATCTAATATAAGATTTAGAAGCTTCAAATAGATCTGTTTTGTTTTTTCTTTTCTTTATTTGAGAGGCAGAGAGAGAACATACTCCCATGCTCCCATCTGCTGGTCCATCTCCCTGATGCCCACAATGGCCAGCGCCGGGCTCGGGCTGAAGCAGGGGAGCAGACACTCAATCGGGGTCTGCCACGTGGTAACAGGAATGCAATCACTTGAGCCATCACCAGCACCTCCCAGTGTCTGCCGCAGATGCTGGAGTCAGGAGGCAGAGACAGGACTTAAACCCAAGTCCTCCAATATGGGACGCGGGCATCTTAACTGCTGGGGTAAATGCCTGCCCTGTTACACTTTGCTTGAATGATGGTAAGAATAGAGCCAGATAAGGACTATAAAATCCTATACAGAACGTATTTCCTCTACTGCTGTCACACTCCAGTACTCACCTGGAAGTAAGAGACCTCTGCAGCCCCACCGGCAGACACCTCTGTGACCACTGATAGTGACTTCAGATCACTGGACAAACACAACGCGAGACAGGTGCCAGCAATCTGTAAAACAGTGGACCCCAGCCCCCTGAGGAATGTAGTAGTCTTGCTAGGTTGCCTCTGCTTATAGCACAGAAAGCAAGAATTCTCCTATGAGTGTTAAAAAGCACGCAGGCAGCAGAGGAGGGTGCGTGTCTTTCCCAGTCTTAGGACACACAGACACTCTGCTTCCTGGCGCCCTCCCACCAAGGTCCCATCAGGTGCTAGAGGGCCACTCTAGTCCACACAGCCTGCAAGGCCTGCCACCTGTTAGAGAAAGCTAAGAACAGACGAAGGAGCTGTGGCGACCAGCAGGACTTAGCTCCAGTGCTGCACTTGGTGGCTGATCACACTCCCACCGCACACTGCAGCTCTTCTCGCACAGCAGGAAGGACGCTCCATCATAACCAAGTGCATTATCCCATGTCTTTGTTAAAGAGAAACAAATTCCACCAACAGCCCCTGGTCTCTACAGACATCCTAGCACTACTGCTGTATCTCAGTAAGAGAACTAGCCTCTGAACATTCAAGAACGAACAGTCCCACGGGCTGAAGCCAAAGAAAACCATGAACAAATTAGCTACCAGAAACGATGGAGACAACGGTAAAGACAAACTTACCCCCGTGACTCGGGCGATCTTGAACATGCCATAAGCATACAGTTCAATAAAGCCAGAGCTTCCTCCAAGGACAAGAATATTAAGCCTAAGTAGAAATAGTACAGTGAGGTGAGGCGCACTGAGCAGAGATGACCGTGTCTTAAACCAAGACAGAAACTCTGCGCTGTCATCTCCCCTGCAGTGGGACACGCACAAACGCACCACCACTCAAACCCAGAGTTCCTCAACTCCAACACAAATCTGCTTACGGTAAACTAAGAATACATGATACTAACAATTACACTCTCGATGACAAAACAACTATTTTTCCAGGTAATACAAAGTTCTACAGCTTTATCACGGCTATCATGCTAACTACACTAAATGGGCTTAAAGGAAACTTATATTCTTAAATTAAAATTTTAGAAATTTCAATCCTCTTTTGCTTGTTAATAAACAAAGGCACACTTGGGGCTGGCGCCGTGGCTCACTAGGTTAATCCTCCACCTGCAGCACCGGCATCCCATATGGGCGCCGGGTTCTAGTCCTGGCTGCCCCTCTTCCAGTCTAGCTCTCTGCTGTGACCAGGGAGGGAAGTGGAGGATGGCCCAAGTGCTTGGGCCCCTGCACCTGCATGGGAGACCAGGAGGAAGCACCTGGCTCCTGGTTTTGGATCAGCGTAGCACCGGCTGTAGCGGCCATTTGGGGAGTAAACCAACAGAAGGAAGACCTTTCTCTCTGTCTCTCCCAATGTCTATAACTCTACCTGTCAAATAAAAAAAAATTTATAAACAAAGGCACACTTGAATGGTACTGAAGTCTGACAAAATGAAAGCCCACACAATAAAAATAATAAATATTAATGTATGTGTATGGTATGGAGGTGTTACATCAACGACAAGAAAACAGGACAAAGAAAGGCTGGACTTTGGCAAACTGCCTCAACTATGAAGTAGCAACTTTAAGAAGCCGGATTTAGTTAAGATCGCTATGAGACCTACCTGACATCTCCCAAGAGCTTAATAATTTCATCGGAATTTTCTTCACTAAAATATAAAAATAAATTGGGTCATCTTTCAATTGTTTCAAATGACAAGAGATTATCATACATGAAAATAAGGCATATCTTACCTAAATATTTTTGAGGTGTTGCTGTAGCTAGAAGAAAACAGAGATGGGGTAAAAATACTCACGATAAAAAGTATTAAAAACACATGAGAAAACTGATCATAGTGTTGAAAGTAGAAGAAAGTGAAATCTGCAAGGCTAATTCCAAAAAAAATAAAACTGTGATACTTACTTTTTTGGCAATGTAGGCAGTTTAGGTAACAGAAGATTTGACTCATCTTCAGCATTATAAAAAGATGTCAGAACACTAAAAAAAGGTAGTAGAAAAACACCAAAGATTTTACTTCTCTTTCCATTAAAAAAAGTGAAGTTTTTAAAAAGATGCTCAGTTTTATAACATTACCAACTAAACAAATGCTGCAACTATTTCACCATTGTGAGAGTCAGTGTAACAATCTCAAATGAAAAATATAATTAGAAAGTTTCTTTTAAATTTTGCAAGAAAAAAATGCCCACCCACTTTATATTTACATGAATGAATAATTTTCTCAGTGTCTGAAATATATTCAGTATTCAGAGACTGATTGAGAATTTATAATTTGTCAGCTTTACTTAAGAACCTACACTGAACATGTTAAATACTCAGAGTAATTTTAAGGAATGTTGTGATTACTGTATCATTTAATTATTGGTTCTACGGCTTACACACACTTGGGATTTGACAAACCTGCAGGTATGTCACATATCACATATTTTTAAATTGTCTTACTTATCCCTTTTTATTTTTTAATTCTACCTTAAATAAGATTAGAAATAAGTGAGCAGGTGAAAAGGTAGTGATTCAGTAAATATTTTTTCCCACTTTTTCCCCCAAAGTAGCTGTCCTGAGATCCTGTAATCCCACATAATTTTTAAACTACCAGCAGAAAGTATGCTGGGAATACACAGCGAGTGACTGGGCTGTGACAGGAACAGCATGGAGACTGCTCCTCCAACCTTGTAGAAGTTCATATGGCCATTTGCACTCCTTGATTATTTGATAATGGATTAATCACTCTGGTTTATCTACAGGGAATGTGGAACCCCAGGCTAGATCCTTTTCATCCAATTCCGATCTTTTCACCAATTAAAAATGATGTTCAAGATTTACAAATTCATTTGATATTAACTCAGTGGACTTAATTAGAAAGGAAAAGCTAACGGGAAGAAAATCACATGACATCAGTCTCCCCTTCTCTGCACTTTCCTGCTCCTTGGTTTCAGTCACCCAAGTTCAACGAGGGTGAGTTACAGCAAGATATTTTGATAGAGACGGTAAGAGGAAGAAGACGTTCATAGAAATTTTAACACAGCATACTGTTATAAACGCTCCATCTTCCAATTAGTTTCTGTCGTTCTGCTCTTTACAAATTTAACTTCACCACCGGTACATCGGTATAGAAGGACCACAGTGTATACAGGGTTCCGTACCACCCACCATGTCGGTTATCCAGTAGGGGTCGTGCAACTGATGCCCTGTGGAAACGGGGACTCCGGGATCACACCCTCCCCCTTGAAATCTGCTTTTACCAGTATTAGCCAAACCCACAGACTCCTTAGGCCACGTTCACTGCACACCCGGTATATTACTTGACTACACAGACTAGGTCAACACTGTTTTCATGAAACAAGGAAACTATCAGGACCAGGACACAGAAAAGAATCCAGCATCAGAACAGAATGCTCCATTTCAGACTTTTCATAGTCTAAGGATATTTACTAAGACACAAAAACAGAGCTCCAGACGAATTAAACAGTGAGCAGACTCTCACTGTGCTGGTCCGTAATTAACTAATATCACTTGGAAGTATACACCATTGACATACACTGCCAACATGCAGAGAAAAATTCTGGCCCGCCAGGCATTATTGCTCCAATAAGAAAATTTTTCAAAAGAAAAAAATTAAAATATTCCATCTTACAAGCTTACAGCCAAAATTTAAATGAGGCATACACATACTCAAAATACCACTAAGTCTCCACTTTAAAAAATGGCAATTTCATGAACAGCCTACCCTCCCTTCCAGAGTTGTTCCCTTCTGGGTACTCTACCTGCTTTCCACAGTCACTTCCATCCAATGCATGCAAGAAACAGGAGCCTCCACAGAAAAAGAGTGCAAGCTCTCAGGTTTCTCTACATCACACAAAACAACTTTCTTGGTGTCAGCAAGAGCAAAGGCCAAAACTAGAACAGGGTGAGAAAAAAAACAGAGTACTTAGTGCAATGTTTGAGAAAAACAGGTACTTGGCCTACTGTCCAGTTTTACTATTTTAAACACATCTAATCATAAAGGCTTTTTTGCCTAAATGTCCCCCCTTTAAGTGCTAATAACTAAAGATCCTTGCGCAAGCTGGTTTTCAAGTGCGGCAGTGCTACTGGAGCACCGTGACGGAGCTAGGGTTTGTCAAGCACCCCCAGTCTAGAGCAGCACTCCACCATCAGGCAGAAAATACAGAAGTCTCAACAGACACGCAATTCAAGCTCATCCCCACGACGTACTGGGCCAGAAACACATCTAAGAGGAAAGACGTGTTTCCATCGGCTTTGAAGGATTTTCATTTTCTGTCTGTTTCTAACCCATAATGGGAAACAAGGCCTTCAACTACTGAGGAATCCCTTTATCCTGACTGTGGCTGATTATCTAGCATGCTTCCTGCACAGAAGTCATTAATGCCTTCTTTTTTTTTTTTCTTTTTTCAAAGATGTATTTATTTATTTGAAAGGAAGAATTACAGAGAGGCAGAGGAAAAGAGAGAGGTCCTCCATCTGCTGTTTCACTTCCCAAATGGCTGCAATGGGCGGAGCTGAACAGATCTGAAGCCAGGAGCCAGGAGCTTCTTCTGGATCTCCCACGCGGGTGCAGGGGCCCAAGGACTTCGGCCTTTTCCCACTGCTATCCCAGGCCATAGCAGAGAGCTGGATCAATCTAGTGCCCATATGGGATGCCAGCGCTTCAGGCAGTGGCTTTACCCATTAGGCCACAGCGCTGGCCCCTAAAACCTTCTTACCTTCTTTCTTTCTTTCTTTCTTTCTTTCTTTCTCTCTCTCTCTCTCTCTCTCTCTCTCTCTCTCTCTCTTTCTTTCTTTCTTTCTTTCTTTCTTTCTTTCTTTCTTTATTTATTTATTTATTTATTTATTTTTAAGGATTTTAAGACTTCCTACAAGGAGGGCAGTAAGTTTTACTGCTGAGAGCTGGACTGGAAGAGTGAACCAGAGGAAGGACAATCTCTCTCTCCCTCTTCCTCCCTCTCTCTGTAACTCTGCCTGTCAAATAAACAGATAAATCTTAAAAACGTTTACTTTGGTGCAAAGTAAGTCTGAAATTTGTGCTTTTTCATAATACATATTTTCTATTTACTTTTGGAAGATCCTATATATGAATGGATTTCAAAATTTTCTGCACCAAAATAAACTTTCAATTCCACTCCCCATGAACTTTTTTTTCTTTTTTGAAAGGCAGAGTTACAGAGAGAGGTAGAGCCAGAGAGAGGTCTTTGATCTGCTGGTTCACTCCCCAAATGACTGCAACGGCTAGAGCTGACCTGTTCCAAAGCCAGGAGCCTGGAGCTTCTTCCAGGTCTCCCACATGGGTGCAGGGGCGCAAGGACTTGGGCCATCTTCCACTACCTTTCTAGGCCACAGCAGAGAGCTGGATCGGAAGTGGAGTAGCCGGGACTCGAACTGGCCACCATATAGGATGCCGTCGCTGATGGCTGGGGCCTTAACCTGCTGCTCCGCTGTGCCACAGTACTGGCCCCCTCCCATGAACATTTTGTTTTTTTTTTTGTTTTTTTTTTTTCAAACAGGCAGAGTTAGACAGTGAGAGAGAGAGGGACAGAGAGAAAGGTCTTCCTTCCGTTGGTTCACCCCCCAAATGGCTGCTACGGCCGGCACACCATGCTGATCTGAAGCCAGGAGCCAGGTGCTTCCTCCTGGTCTCCCATGGGGTGCAGAGTCCAAGCATTTGGGCCATCCTCCACTGCCCTCCCGGGTCACAGCAGAGAGCTGGACTGGAAAAGGGGCAACCGGGACAGAATCCGGCGCCCTGACTGGGACTAGAACCCGGTGTGCTGGCGCCACAGGCGGAGGATTAGCCTAGTGAGCTGCGGCGTCAGCTCCCATGAACTTCTGAAGTTGCCTCATATTTTAAGCAAAGTGAGTATAGAATGAATATAGCACATTAAAGCATTCCTGGACATCATACTTCCGGGAATTAATCTAAGGAGCTAACTCCAAGTATCAGCGCTCCCAGTGTTCAGGATATTTATGTATAGCATCTTTATAAAAACCAAAAACTAGAAACTATCTAAATGTCCACCTATGAGGATAGAGTTAGCAAATCACAATATAGAAATACAGTGGATTAGTATGTAATCATTTAACATTAATGTGGTTAATCTATCCACAGTGACAAGAAAAAAGCAATATAAAAAACAAAAACAAAAAAACTACACAACAAAATGGCATGTATTAGGGCCAGTATTGTGACACAGTGGGATAGGACACTGCCTGTAATGCTGAAATCCCATATGGGCACCGGTTTGAGTCCTAGCTGCTCCATTTCTGATCCAGCTCTCTGCTAATGTGCCTGGGAAAGCACTGGAAGATGGTTCAAGTGCTTGGGCCCCTGCACCCACACAGGAGACCTGGATGAAGCTCTTATCTTCACCCTGGCCTAGCCCTGGCCAGTGCAACCATTCAGGGAGTGAACCAGAGGATCTTGGTCTCTCTCTCTCTCTGCAACTCCACTTAATAAATAAATAAATCCATTTTTTAAAAATAGCATGCATCGAATGACCTCCCTCTGATAAAACTGTATAATGTATATATTCTGCATGTATGGATTTTATCAGAAATTTTAGAGAAGTTGTTCTCCAAAACAAAGTTATTTCTGACTTATAAGGTTTTCAGGGAATTTTAAAGCACTTCATTATATTTATCTGGGGGAACAAAATAAGCCATGAGGAGCTCATACCATTCTACAAAACCAGTATCCCCAAAGCATCAAAGACACAGATGACGTTCAAGCTCCGTGGTGTGCACACATCACTGTCCTGTGTGTAGCGGCTGAGATAAGGATTGGCATTGTCCATGCAACCCATGGAGTAAGAGTTCAATCGTCAGAGCCATAATGAGCAACAGCACAAGGGCCCCAGGAAACAGGGCGAGGAATGGAATCAGAGCTGAGGGAGCCTAGGAGTGGCAAGCAGGTCTGCACAGCGGATGCGCCACACGCTCAGTGGGAAATACACGGCTGGGAGGCCTTGAACTGAGCTGACTGTGAGTGGCAGGTGGTGCTGGGCCCAGGGGTGCAGGACCAGAGATAGCAGAAAGAACAAAGCTGAAGCTTTCTGTGGATCCATCGGATTTCAGCTCAGGGTTATCTTTGCCAAGAAGCTGGACTCCGTCTAAAAGAGCCCTCTGCCGAGAATTAATCTGAGCTTTATGGAAAGATGTTAAAGCCTGCTTTTGAAAAATGCTCCCCGATTGGCATTTATAACTCCAGTATAGTCTAACAATAAATTCTTTCTGGAAATAAGCTTTCTTTAGAGGCTATTTGATTTTCACCCTTTGTGAAAATACAGATTTTTTCTATAACAGTATCATTACGTTTGCCATCTGGTCTCCAAGCCAGACAGGTCACTTCCTTTCCTGTGTTTTCATTTGGTGGAAAACTCCAAACTCGATGAAAACTTGCAAGTCGGTGAAGCAAAACCTAAGAGAAAACAGATATAAGGCAGTAAGTAAAAAATCCATTTCCAAAAATAAATTGCGATCACCACTGTAAAACTTTAAAAAAAAAATCTCTTAAATATTTAGCTAGAAGCAGAAAAGAGGAACACAACAATGTCTGAATGAACATAAGGCATTTCAAAAGACATGGGCCGGCGCTGTAGCGTAGTGGGTTAAGCTGCTACCTGCAGTGCCGGCATCCCATATGGGCATCATTTCAAGACCCGGCTGCTCCACTTCTGATCCAGCTCTCTGCTATGACCTGGGAAAGCAGTGGAAGATGGCCCAAGTCCTTGGGCCCCTGCACCTGCGTGGGAGACCTGGAAGAAGCTCCTGGCTCCTGGCTTTGGATCAGCGCAGCTCTGGCCATTGTGGGCAATTGGGGAGTGAACCAGCAGATTGAAGACCTCTCTCTCTTTGCCTCTCCTTCTCTCTCTGTGTAACTCTGACTTTCAAATAAATACATCTTTTTTTAATTTGTATTTATTTATTTATTATTTTTTTTGACAGGCAGAGTGGACAGTGAGAGAAAGAGACAGAGAGAAAGGTCTTCCTTTGCCGTTGGTTCACCCTCCAATGGCCGCCGCGCTGCGGCTAGCTCCCCGCCGGCTCACTTACCTCGCCCGCTGTGTTGGCCAAAGCAATGAGGTCCCGCTTGGGCGACCAGTACTTGGGCTAGTACTGCTAGTACTTGGGCCATCCTCCACTGCCCTCCCGGGTCACAGCAGAGAGCTGGCCTGGAAGGGGGGACAACCGGGACAGAATCCGGTGCCCCGAACGGGACTAGAACCCGGTGTGCCGGCACCGCAAGACGGAGGATTAGCCTAGTGAGCCGCGGTGCGGTCCCAAATAAATACATCTTTAAAAAAAAAGAGAGAGAGAAATGGGTGAAAATAGAGGAGATCTAATTCAACCCTGTGCCCCAAGCATTTTTTTTTTTTTTAAGATTTATTTATTTGAAAGAGTTGCAGGGAGATAGGGTGAGACACAGAATGAGGGGTCTTCCATCTGCTGGTTCATTCCCCAAATGGCCACAGGCAGGGCTGAGCCCGGCCAAAGCCTGGAGCTTTGTCCGGGTCCCCTACGTAGTTGCAGGGGTCGAAGCACTTGGGCCACGTCTGCGGCTTTTCCCAGGCTATTAGCAGGGAGCTGGATCGGAAGCGGAGTAGCTGGGTCATGAACCGGTACCCAGATGGGATGCCGGCGTCACAGGCGATGGCTTACTCCCTATGCCCCAACACCAGCCCCCATTTTCCTTTTATGTCAACAGGAGACTTAGCTTTTAGAGAGGAATAAGGCGGCCACCTAAGAGGGCAATAAAAAAAGAAAGAAACACAAACGGCACTAAGAAGACAGCGGTCGTGGAGTCACACCACCTCACGGGGAATCGGACAACGTGGCTTCTATTTCAGCTGCGGCCACCGAGCCACCCTGGCTCCCTGTGCTTCCACAGCAGGGCCGTCACGACTCCAGCCTCATTCAAGTGAATCGCACCTGCTCCCAAAGACTTCTCCCCACGTCCTGACTCCGCACGAACAGCGTCACCACTGTTCCCAGCCTCACCTTGCAGCTCGGACGGAGCACATGCACTCCCGGCCCCCGCGGGGAACACAGGCGACCCCTCCCACCATCTGCAGAGTGCCCGGCCGCCTACATTCCTGAAAGACCGTGGTGACGGTTCTCAGCCATCTCCCGGCCATGACAACAGCCATGTCACCTCCACGACTCTGCGTCTACCCACAGGCTCCCCCAGACAACGCCCGGGCTGCTTCTTTCATTGAGCAAAAAGCACCCAGCCCCGCCCGCTGTCACACGCGCCCACCTGACCGCCCTGTCTGTGGTCCCGGCCACTGCCCTGGCTATCCCCATCTATCTTACTACTCCCTGCACCCACGACGGGGCCACAAAGCACCCTGGCAGGGGGGCGGAGAGAGAGGATTTCATGGAGGCCCCAGAGAAACTAGACCACACCCCAGGGACGGGCTCATGGGGGCAGCGCGGTGACACCAAGATTTCCTTGCCAGCTGGTCGCGCACTTGGCCCTCGCCAGGAAAATGCCCGAAGGCCAGAGAGGAACGGCTGCCCGGGTGGAGGTTCCCTTACAACATGGCCGGCAGGCACCTCCCGGCGGAGAGCTGACACTCCATGAAGGCTGCGACATGCCGAGCCCGAGAGGGCCGGCTGCCCGCGTTCACGCGCGTCCTGCCCGGGCGCCGGGAAGCCTCGCTCGGTAGTTTCGCTGGGAAGCGGCCGTGCAACGGGACAACAGCGCTGGGATTTTCACACATTCTCCATGCATGCACACTTGGGGCTACAACGTGGCACTGCCTCATCTGCGGCTCCTGGACTGTGGGCGAGTCCTGGGCAGGGTGTGCGGGACCACTGGGAACAGCTCCCGACGAGCCCCGGGGCGCAGGGCTGTGCCACTGTGTTCAAGCTCTGCACACTGTCATCTTAGCCACAAAACGCCGAGCCCGGGCACATCGACCACCTGTGGCACAGGGTCATGCAGCCCGTGACACTCGCACCTGAAGTTCCCGGCCGCCCCGGGAGGCAGGGGCGGGGCAGACAGCGGAGCGCCGTGGGTTGCACAAAGGGAAACTGAGGCAGGCTCTGGCAGCGTGTGGCCCGCGCGAACAGCGTCGGCCTCGGTGTTCCCGCGCCCACGGCGGGCTGGCCCAAGCCCAGGCCGGCTCCCCGCCGGCTCACTTACCTCGCCCGCTGTGTTGGCCAAAGCAATGAGGTCCCGCTTGGGCGACCAGACCAGGAAAATGATCTCCTGCGGCAGCTGCTTCTCTCCCACCACCCGGAAGGATGGGAAACAGGTCGGAAAGCGCAACATGGGGACGGCCCTGCAACGACACCCTGGCTGGAGGCTGGCAAGAGGCCCGGCCACGCAGCCGGACCCCCGGAGCACCTGAGGCTCCCCGGGCGCTGCCAACGCGGGCCCAGCGGAGCCTCTCCCCTCCCTCGGCCGGCCGCGCGCCAGACTCCGGGACGCCCCGCCCCGTCCCGCCGCGCGCACGGGCCACTTCCGGCGCTGCAGTGTCCTCGCGAGAAGAGGCGGGGCGAGAGTGCGCGCGGGGCGGGGCGGGGCCTGAGGGCTGCCTGTGGGCGGGGCCGGGGCGGGGCCACAGGTAAGGAGATAGGCGCCCCGGCCGGACCGGACGGAGTTCCGGGCGCTTGAAACCGGGTCGGGCGAGTCTTTGCGGCCGCACGCGGGACTTGTAGTAAGGCGTGTGGGCAGGTTTGCCGGTTTCTTCCATATTTTTTTTCAGGAAGTTCGCAGCTGTGGGCTGAGAGCCTCAGATGGGCTGCAAACTTTAGGTCTGGATCGGCGGGGGCCGACTTTGGCAGTCTCTTGTTGCTCAGGAGAATTTTTAAAAACCCTCCTGTCGAGGCAGCAGCCCCGACCAATTAAGAGAGAATTAATGCGGAAGGAGACCCAGGGTTCGGTAAAACTCGAGACGATCCCGGTTTGCCGCCAAGGCGGGGGCGCAGGGCCCCAGCTCTCAGCGCCCTGACGAGGGCAGGTGCTCCTTTGATCCTCGTCCCTTGCAAGGCTCACCACAGTGTCCTAACAAATGAGGGATGAGCGCACTTAGGACTTAGGCCATAGCTGTCTGAGCACTAAGTCAGAAACGCTGCCCGCGACAGACAGGTCTCGGGGGCGCAGGCTCGCGCGCCAGCTTGGCCGACAGCTTGTCAATCCGAATCCATCGACGCTCCCTTACAGAGGAGACACTTAGACATCTTAACCTGGCCAGCGGTTAACAGCTATGATCCCTGGGAATCTTGAATTTAACATCTGTCTTCTGCCTTGCACTTCTGCTTGTTCCAAGGAGAAAGAGAGGGCAGGACCTTCAATTTTCGTTTTTAAAAGATTTTATTGATTTGAGAGGCAGAGTTAAAGAGACACAGAGAGACAGGTCTTCCACCCGCTGGTTCACTGCCCAAATGGCCGCAACCGCCAGAGCTGAGCCCATTGGAAACCAGGAGCCCGGGGCTTCCTCTGGGTCTCCCATGCGGGTGCAGTGGTCCAAGCACGTGGGCCATCCTCCACTCCTTTCCCAGGCCGTCAGCAGAGATGCTGGATCGGAAGTGGAGTACCGGGACACGAACCAGCGCCCTTATGGGATGCCAGCGCCACAAGTGGAGGCTAAGCCTACTACACCACAGCGCCGGCCCCAGGACCTTCAATTTTCAACCAGTCTCATCTTCCTGCCCTCTCTCTGGGTCTAACCCCAGAACAGGTAGCAGAGACAGATTCATTCATTCAGCAACAAATACTCAAGTAGCTATTTTGTGCCAGTTCTTACAAATTAATTTGAGGGCCATCTGCTGGTTCACCTCCCAGATGCCTACAATAACCAGGGCTGGGTAGAGCCAAGCCAAAGCTTGGAACCAGAAACTAAATTCAGGTTTCTCATGTTGGTGGCAGGAACCCAATTACTTGGGGCCAGTGCTGTGGCACAGTGGGTTAAGCCACCGCCTGGAATGATGACATTCTATATGGCCCCTGGTTGGTGTCCTGACTGCTCCACTTCCAGTCCAGCTCCCTGCTAATGGGGAAAAGCAGCAGGAAATAAGCCCAAGTGCTTGGGCCCCTGGTACCCACATGGGAGACCTGGAAGAAGCTCTGGGGGAGTGAACCAGTGAGTGGAAGAGCTGTCTGTCTCTTTCAAATGAATAAATAAATCTTAAAAAAAAAATAAATTACCTGGGCCATCACCTCCCCCTCCCAGGGTGTGCATTAGCAGTAATCTGGAATTAGGTGCTGTTTAATGTTTTGGGGCAGTAATGATGGATAATCTGGATGGTGAAGGGCCAGTAACTAATCACTTTTCATGAACATTACACGTCCATTTTCCTAGAACTTCTAAATACAAGTCTGCATACACATATTCGGTCTTCACAGAAGAGTATGCTTTTCCTAGAAGACACAGGAAGCAGCTCAGGTGTGGTGTTCCAGACGTGGGCAGGAAACAGCAGTCTTGCGTGGCTATGGAGCCTCAGGTGTATCACTGTGTGTTGGGTGGGACAGCAATTGTTACTGGAAATGATTCAACACAGCCAAAGGACAAGACCTGTGTTGTTTTTTTTTAAGTTTTATTTATTTATTTGAAATGCAAATATACAGAGAGAGGAAGAGGGAGGGAGGGAGAGAGAGAATGAGAATCTTCCATTCATTGTTTCAATCCCCAAATGGCTGCAAGGGCTGGAGTTGTGCCAGGCCAAAGCCAGGAGCCAGGAGCTTCTTCTGGGTCTCCCATGTGGTGCAGGGGCCCAAGCACTTGGGCCACCTTCCAGTGCTTTCCCAGGCCATCAGCAGAGAGCTGGATCGGAAGTGGAGCAACCAAGACTTGAACCAGCACCCATATAGGACGCCAGTACTGCAGGCTGAGGCTTAACCTTCTACGCCACAACGCGGGCCCCCAGGACAAGATCTATTAACGCAGTGTTTCTAGCCTTTTCTTTTCCCCACTGCTCTCTAAGGTTGTGGCTTTAACCATTCCATTTCTTTGCCTTCCACTTCTGAGGCAAATATTGCTTTGTCCAACTGACTCACTGGAGCTTTTGTTGTGCAGTCAAAAAGTGTCAGTGCTTTCTTGGGGGGGGAGCAGCAAGGGCAGCAGATCCACGTATGGAGAGTGAGAAAGCAGGTAGCGGTGAGCAAGATGTAACAGAAAACGGACCGGATCCAATAACTTCCACACAGTGGTGGTGGTTCGGCACGGACATTAAGATCTGCTTGAGGTCACTGCCTCCCGCTGACCGGCACCCTGGAAACAGCAGGTGAGAGCTCAGGAGATGATGGCACGGGGCCCTGCCACCCACGCGAGACTAGGACTGAGTTCCGGGGCCCTGGCTTTGACCTGGCCCAGCCCTGGCTATTATAGGCATTTGGAGGAAATGGAAGTTCTCATTTTGCTTTTTGAATAAATGAAATTAAAAAAATTTTTTAAAGAAATTCCATGGTTGGTATGCCCTAGCGTTTGGAGGGGAAAAGCAAGAATATCTTTGTACAACCAGCCATTTACTGGCCTGTTTCTTTGATCGCTATTCCTCTTGGCTAGCTCATGCCAATGGCTTCTCTGCAGTAGCATGCGGTTGCATCTTGAAGGGCCAGGCAGCTACCAACAGAGATTTAAGTGACCCCATCACACTGGTTCACTGGTTATTCAGAACCTTAAGTCTTCTCACAAGACTGGAGGCGTAAAGATATCAGTAAGACTAGGTGGGCGGGGGGGCAGATTGCAGAGTTGCTTTTAAAAAGGGATTGCATTTTCCTTTTTTTTTTCTTTTTTAAGATTTACTTATTTATTTATCTGGAAGGCAGAGTGGCACAGGGGAAAACAACACAAGACAGATCCTCCGTCTGCTGGTTCACTCCCCAAATGGCTGCAGCAACCACGTCTGAGCCAGGAACTCCATCCTGGTCTCCCACATGGGTGGCGGAGGCCCAGCTACTTGGACCATCACCTGCTGCTCTCCCAGGTAGATGGGAAGTGGAGCAGCTGGGAATCAAAGTGCACTCTGCTATGGGATGTTGGGGCCCCAGTGCTGGCCCCTGCAGAAACATTTCTGATGTAGAGTAGTAAGAACTGATTAAACTGGGGAATGAAGCAACTCAAAAAACTCAACAACAAAAACAACCAATCCCAACAAACACTGGTGAGGAGGAGAAAGGGGAACTCTTACACACTTGCCATAGGCTCCTGCAATCCTGCTACTAAGTATAGAGCCAAAAGACAAACACATAGTAGCAGATACCTGTTGTGTACCACTGTTTATAGCAGCACTGTTCACAAGAGCCGTCATATGGAGTCAACCAAGGTGTCCATCATCAGATTAATGGATAAACAGAATGTGGTATGTGTGTGTGTATACATGCATACACATACAATGAAATACTATTCAGCTGTAAGAATGAAATTCTTATCATTTGCATCAAAATATCTGCAATTGGACATCATGTTGAATGAAATAAGCTGGACACAGAAAAATACCACATGTTCTCCCTTACATGTAGGCACTAAAAGAAAAAACAAGCAAAACCAACAATGCCTGTATCTGTTTTGCTGAAAATTGTGTTTTGTCAAAATTTGTTTTAAATCTTTGTTAAATTGTTAAGAATTGTATGCTACTACAGTTTAATGATCTGTGACTGTTTTAAAATGTGCTGTAAATGAATGAAGTTGAACATCTTATTTGATTGTTTACAGCCCTTAACCATATTCCTGCTTAACTGTGATCTTTACTTTTACTCCCTGAACTCATTACTTAGTGAAGCATTAAGCCTTTTGTCCTCCTGAAGCATGTAGGATGCTCAGGCTGCCCTCTGCCTCTGCAGACAAAGAAACTGGCCCAGGAATGCGGGCGCAGTTTCCTAGAGACCAGCAGCTGTTCCACCTCTGCTTGGCTGCAGCGGTAAGAAGCAACTGCGCCGTTTTGAGAATCGTCCGGCTGTCAGCCAGTGGGGTAAAACTTAGCTCCGAGGGCTCTGCGATCTTGCTCACTCTTCGGTGCTATTTTCCTCAATCTTGCTGAGTTAACATTTATACTAACTCGCCTGAAATCAAACAGTAGAGATCTTATCTCCACTTTATTGCAATGACCGTCTTAGCTGACCCTCCAGTAATTTAACCCATGTCCTAATGTTCCAATTAAAGTCACATCAAATAAGTGAAATTGGATTTGCCTTTGCATTTTGTGGAAGCTTTCCTTAATTTGGCAGCACTGAGTGCATTAGCTCGTTACTCACACAGCAGTTAGGGTGCTGAGGCAGAAAGCAGTCTATTAAATGGCAGTTCCGTTCACTCAGCTGATATTTATGAGCACCTGGTACCTGGAGAGTGCAGAGATGTGTTCGCCGTGCCGCCTGCCTCCCGTTAACTGAGGGCACGTGAGATGCAACTGCAATCTGACGCTGCAGTGCACAAGGCACAGTTCTGGGAGTCCCAGGGAGCAAACGACGAAGTCCACAGGTCCCTGCCATGCGTAGCTCCTAATCTATAAAGTCATCCCATTGTAACACAAGGTCTGATTTAAGGCTCTCAAAAGAAGGATAAAGTAAAACACACACCCACACCATTTTATTTCACTGGTCAGATGTACTGCTCCACGGGAGAAACCAATGAGGACATCCTGAAGGTGGTGGCAGCAGACTGGGACCTTCTGTAGGCTGTGGATTTATATTTTAAAATTAGTCTGGGGCTGGCACTATGGCGCAGCAGGTTAACGCCCTGGCCTGAAGCGCCAGCATCCCATATGGGCGCCAGTTCTAGTCCTGGCTGCTCCAATTCTGATCCAGCTCTCTGCTGTGGCCTGGGAAAGCAGTAGAAGATGGCCCAAGTCCTTGAGCCCCTGCACCTGCATGGAAGAAGCTTCTGGCTCCTGGCTTCGGATTGGCGCAGCTCTGGCTGTTGCGGCTAATTGGGGAGTGAACCAGCGGATGGAAGACCTCTCTCTCTCTCTCTGCCTCTCCTCTCTCTGTGTAACTCTGACTTTCAAATAAATAAATCAATCAATCTTAAAAAAATTAGTCTAACTTCTCCCAGGTGCCTAGTATTAGACTGGTTGGAAGGGGCCAAATATCAACTTAGGTGCTTTTCTTAATATAAGAGCTGAATGACTCTAAGTTTGAAGATTTCCAGATAAGGCTACCAGTCTTCCTTACACAGCACGTTGGAGGTGAGGTCAGCCTTCACGCTGACTCTAACTCCCTCCCCATGCCGTCTATGTCTGCTTTCCTCTTTTCAGGCCTGAGAAGAAACAGGAAAGCATAGATCCTCTCCTCTGGAAAACTCAATTCGTTCATCCAATTTTGATTGAGCCCCTACAAGGGACACCAGAGTGGATAAGATGGGTACTGACCTTAAGAAAGCTGAGTCTTTTGAAGAATTAATCTGTAGTTTTAATCCAAGAGTGACACATGGGTATTCCAGGTGTGGTGCAGAAGGAAAGGGTTCAGAGAAGAGGTACTGGCAAGCGCCTGGGACATGTGGGAGACGTCCCAGGGGAATGCAGGGGGTGGGGCATGAAGGCCCCACAGGGTGTCAATGGATGGCTAGGTGGAGGCCTGGATTCCAAGCAGAACAATGTACGACAGAAAGAATGCAGAAATAAATAAATCTAGCACCAGAATAATATATTTTTTTAATTATATTTTATTTGAAAGAGTTACAGAGAGAGGTAGAGACAGAGAGGGGTCTTCCATCAGCTGGTTCATTCCCCAAATGGCAGCAACAGCCGGAGCTGAGCCGATCCAAAGCCAGGAGCCAGAAGCTTCTTCCGGGTCTCCCACGCAGGTGCAGGGGCCCAAGGACTTGGACCATTTTCTACTGCTTTCTCAGGCCACAGCAGAGAGCTGGATCAGAAGAGGAGCAGCCAGGACTAGAACCGGTGCCCATATGGGATGCTGGCACCGCAGTGGCAGCTTTAACCCGCTGCACCACAGCGCCGGTCCCCAGAATAATGTTTTTAAAAACTCTAAAATCTGAGGTTGGTGCTGTGGTGCAGCATGCTAATGCCCTGGCCTAAAGCGCCGGCATCCCATATGGGTGCCAGTTTGAGACCCAAGGGTATAGTACCTGTGGGGAGCAATCCGGACTAGACTAAGTTACTCGAATTAGGACTTATTCTATGCATCTGCTCTCCCACAATATGGCGCTGGGAGAGAAGTAAACAGCTTCCGCACAGCTGCCTCCAGTTCAACCCATTAACTGTAGGACTTGCTCCTGATTGGAGAGCAGCGTACTCGGCGTGTGGGCAGCCGAGTTGGGATTGGCGGAGGAGGACTATAAAGGAGGAGAGAGACGGCATGCATCGGGAACATCTATGGGGAACATCTAAGGGAACCCGTGCAGCCCCCGAGAGAACCGGCCGGCGGTGTGCCGCTCCCCTGCGGAAGTGGGGAATGCGGCCAGGGGGAACTGCCCTTCCACGGAGGTGGAAGGGATAGTAGCCAACCCGGGAAGAACCAGCAGCAAACCCGGGGAGGGCCGAGCAGACGAAAGAACAGCGCAGGGTTCAGTGTTGCTCCTCCACGAAGAGGGGGAGCGGCAGTACCCAGATATAATAACACTTTCCACTCAATAATGAAAAGATAACCAATTTTAAAATAAGCAAAAACTGAATAAACATCTCTCCAAAAAGGTAAACAAATGGCCCTTAAAGGAACCAGCATTGTGGTACAGGGGGTAAAGCCCCCGCCTGCAGTGCTGGCATCCCATATGGGTGCCAGTTCAAATCCCGGCTGCTCCACTTCCGATCAGCTTTCTGCTGTGTCCTGAGAAAGCAGTGGAAGATGGCCCAAGTCCTTGGGCTCCTGCACCCACGTGGGAGACCCAGAAGAAGCTCCTGGCTCCTGGCTTCGGATTGGAACAGCTCTGGCCGCTGCGGCCAATTGGGGAGTGAACCATCGGATGGAAGACCTCTCTTTCTCTCTTTTTCTCTTTCTCTCTGCCTCTCCTCTCTCTGTGTAACTCTGACTTTCAAATAAATAGATAAATATTAAAAAAAAAAAACACTCTAAAATCTGATCATTGAGAGCCTACAATTCTGTTTCATTACATTTTGTTATATGGGCACAAGGCAGAATGAAAGTTAATTATAGTTACTTATTAAACATGTCATTTTAGTGGATGTTTAGCCTAGCAGCTGAGATGCCAGTGTCCGGCACTGGGGTGCCTAGGTCTGAAATTCAGCTCTGGCTCCAAATGCACACACTAGGGTGCAGCAGTGATGGCGCAAGTAGTGGGGTTCCTGCCATCCTCGTGGCAGACCCGCAGTGAGTTCTGGCTCCCACCTTCAGTGAGCCCAGCCCCAGCCACTGAGGGCAACTGGGGAGTAAACTAGTGGATGGAGGAGCATCTCCCCTCTCTCCCCCAAAACAAACAGATTTTTAACAAAAATAAATGATCTATCTTATAATTTATAGTATCTTACAATTAAGGAAATAATAGTGATAATGACCAGTGGCCATCAGGACCCAGTTCTTCAATGAGGCATGGTCCCTCAGGTATGTGGGCTTCAGAAGAGATTTCAACAGGTTGTCCATGGTATGGCGGACGCCATAAGTTAGGCCGTATCCCAGACTCACGACGACTTTCCAAATCTGCCACTCCTATCCTCATGGAATCCATGTGCCAATCCTTGCCACAAAGGAGACAAGAGAAGAATTTTCTGATGCTTTTTAAACCCAGACCTCGACGTCATCTGATACATATCACCACCATAGTCGCCTGGGCCATATCTGATATTCCATAGCATGCATCCAACAGTCTTAACCGGAATCTAAATACCAGATATGGGTTGCAGTATGCACGTGACTGCCGCTAACCCCAAGCTGCAGATGAACTCGAAAGCAGTTGCCTGGGCATAAGACAGAAGCCACTGCCCAAGTCCTTCAATGGCTATTCAGATGTCTGGCAGAGAAAGGTGGAGAGGATCTGCTTGTTTGGAGACTTCACACCATGCCCTTCAGGGCTCTGTTACTGGACCAAGGGATGACTGCTGCTGGGCCACAGGAACAATCTTCCCTACCATAACTCACGGGGGCCAGGGGGCCAGGCGCTGGGGTCTCATCTGCGTTAACCATGAAAACAAACCCGAGGCAGAGCTATCGTTCTCCCCACTGCAGTAATGAAGAAACCTGGGTTCTCCAGAGTGGCTTGGCCAAGGTCATACGTCAGTAGGTGTCAGGACAGGAATGAGAGGTTTAACCAAACTATCCCGTCTTCTACTGACCACTTGGACTGCATTGGCGAAGAAACTGAAATGGGAGTGGGTGTCTGGCACAGTGGTTAAGCTGCCACTTGGGACACCCACATTCCATTTTGGATTGCCTGATTCAAGTTCCAACTTTTGTGCTTCCTCTCCAGCTTCCTGCTAGCACACGCCCAGGGACCTGTGTCCTGCCAGCCACGTGGGAGACCTGCACTGAGGTCCGCTCTTGACTTCAGCCTGTCCCAGCCCTGGGTGTTTGAGGAGTGAGTGAACCACTGGATAGATCTTTTTCTGTTTCTCTCTGCCTCTCAAATGAAGCGAAAATAAACAGACACTGAAATGATGGAGCAAGTCTAATTCTGAATGTCTCATTCAACATTTAAGTGATTCCACACCATCAAAAATTTCTCAATAAATAAATATTTGATAATAGTTATCATTACAATCTCTATATCTTTATAGAACCTTTGTAAAAATTCTGACATCTTCAGATTCAGTCTAAAAATAATTGTAGACTGTACCTTTCTTTACAGTGTGATTTAAATCACGATTTAACAATCAACATAAAATGTTTGCAAATCTAAATTAACATAAACTATGTTTAATATAAACAAAACTTCAAGGTTATCACTTCCACTTTCTTCTGACATATTCTGCAAAAGAATGCTGTGTGCCCATTTTTCAGATAAAAGAGGCTAAAATAAAGTGATTATGAGAGACTTAACAAAAAGAGCAAGCAGAGGGAGCTGGTAAAGCAGCCAAGGACAGAGCAGCCCCCTCTAGGTCTCCAGACAGGCAGACGAGGGCAGATGCTAACCCAGCAAGTGCCACCAGCCTATTTTCCAGCTCAGAAGGTGTGTACCTTTGCAAGCAACTGGATATAAGTCCAGGGTGGCACTTTCAGAAAATGGCGTCAAAGGTTGGACTATAAATCTTCCTTATTCTCAAGTCACTGGACATTTAAGAGCAAAGATATTGATGGGTTCTCTCCCGCCTTTTCTTTCTCGTTGTAACAGATGTATGATTCATGGACTGTCCTTTAGTGGTCTCCATTTTCATCTTATTACTTTTTCTTTGCTTCTGCTTTCTGACAGCTCTGAAAAACAAGGTGCTAAATTATTTCATAGAATGAACACAGTGAATTATGTAATTATGTTGAAGTTTAATTAACTAGCCTACCAAATAAGAAAATAGAAGGGAAAGAATTCACTGTATTATAAGCATAAATCCTCAGGATCCTATCCATAACAACAAGGAAACAGTCACAGGCCTGACCAAGCAAAATGTCTGAGGAAAGAAATTTCTTTAAAAGATGGCTGCAACGGATTTAGAACGAGCTATTCAGGACAAACACACCACAGAGGTAAACAGCCATGCCAATGAGTTTGGTAGGTTTTGTTTGTTTTTGTTTTAGTCTTTTGTGTACTGCTCAACTCAGCACTTCAATCTCCAAATACCTGAATTACATTTTTAGGAAAGGAACTCACATCTGGCTGTTAGCAGAGGAAGAAAAATGAAACAGCACATCGAAAAAACTGGCAACACTTGAAAGGGCTCATTTTGAAGTCCGACAACTAATTTTCCTTTCCTCAGTAGATCTAAGAGTCCCTAAGAAGTTCACACAGGATGACCACACTTTGTGGTCCCTATTTTCTTGAAGATTAGCTTCAAAATAAACAAGCTGGAACTCACCCTCAAAACACACTGCACCAGACAAAACAGATGCCTGTTTCTGGTGTTCTCTACACTGAGGTGCGGGCAGTCTGTGGCTAAGAAAGATTACTGGTCCATTCATTCGCTGTCTCCAAGCTAGCAGAATCATGCCATTTATTCTATAACAAACCAAAGAATGGGCTGGGGCCAACACTACTGGCAAATGTGGAAACTTCTCTGACCCCAGCAATATCACTTGTTAGATTCATCTCTCATAAGCCACAAGCAGCTTCCCAGGAAAAAGCTTATTCTTGATCTTTGCGGGATAAAAACTGGGGGAAATAGCTCCATAAATGGTGTACAACCCCCTAACGGGTCAAACTTTTGTTCACTCAATACATGTTTCATGCTAAAAGTACAACAATGGACGGGCATTATCACTGACTTCAAGAAGCCGGGAGACTGAGTGAGACAAGGCAGGTGTCATTGTTCACTTTCAGCTCTCTTCAGAGGAAGAAAGTGAAGCTATGAAATCCTGTGATCAGTGAGGAGTGGCAGAACCAACCGGTTCTAGAACCAGTGCTCTCATTCACCTTGATCTAAAGATTCAACTACAAATTGTTCAGGTATATAAAGTGTTAAGTATATAGCAACTACTCAATACATACTAGCTGTTATTATTAGTTCCACGTGATTATACAGAAATTTGCTTGATAATTTTACATTTTTCCAGACTTAGATTTTATACTGTGGACCGGCATAATTAGCTCAAAATAAGTTATCTTTTAAAAAACTGATTTATTTATTTCAAAGAGTGACACAGAGGGGGAGAGACAGAAAAGGAGAGATCTTCCATCCACTGGCTGACTCCCCAAATGCCCACAACCGCCAGGGCTGGGCCAGAACTAAACATGAGCCAGGAACTCCTGCGGATGACAGAAACCCAAGTACTTGGGCCATGACCTGCTGCCTCCCAGGTGTGTTAGCAGGAAGCTGGATCAGAAACAGAGGTGAGCCTAGACCCCAGGCACTCTGATATGGGATGCAGACACCCCAAGCTGTGGTTTACCTCTCTGTGCCACAAAACCAGCCTAAAGCTATCTTTATACCATGTTGTGCCCATTATAGAAATGTCTTCTTAGGGCCGGTGCTGTGGCATAGCAGTGCCGGCATCCCATATGGGCGCCAGTTTAAGTCCTGGCTGCTCCACTTCTGATCCAGCTCTCTGCTATGGCCTGGAAAAGTAGTAGAAGATGGCTCAAGTCCTTGGGCCCCTGCACCTGTGTGGGAGACCTGGAAGAAGCTCCTGGTTCCTGACTTCGGATCGGTGCAACTCCAGCCATTGCAGCTACTTGGGGAGTGAACCAGCAGATGGAAGACTTCTCTCTCTTGCCTCTGCCTCTCTGTACCTCTGCCTTTCAAATAAATAAATAAATCTTTTTTTTTTTTTTAAATGGAATGTCTTTTTATTCCAGCACTTTTTAAAAAGCAGTATAATTTCCTAGGAAGTAGTGACTTAGCACATTTAGCGAAGTATAATTTGGCTGAAAGTCAATGAAGCCGTGGGTGCCTGTATTCAAAATGAAAGCAACTTTCTCTTTGGCTCATCCACTCATGAGCAGGACTAAAAATGAACCAGATCCATTAGGGGATGCAGTAAACGAAAACAGAAGGAAAATATTTGAATATGTTCAGTTGTAAATGAAACACTCCAGACATAAAGTCTTTGAGCTGTGATGAACTGATTAAGTATAAATTAGTTGTTTTTGTTTTGCCTTAAAAGTAAATTGGGGGCAGCCGTTGTGGTAGGGCCAAGGGTAAGCCATCTCTTGGGACAGCTGCATCCCATATGGAGTGTCTGGTTGGAGTCCTGGATACTCTGCATTGGAATCCTGCTCCCTGCTAGAGCAGCTAGGGAGCAGCAGATGATGGCCCAAGTACCTGAGCTCCTGCCACCGACATGGGAGACCCAGATGGAATTCTCAGCCCCCGGCTTTCGCTTGGCCAAGCCTGAACTGTCATGGGTATCTGAGGAGGTAAGCCACTGCATGGAAGATAGCTGTCTCGCCCCTTCTTTCTCACTCTGCCTTTCAAATAAACAATCTTGAAAAGAAAAACAAAAGGCAAATTGACCTAATATTTGTCCCCTAAATTATGGGATTTATGTAACTGAGAAAATAGCTTTAACCACAAGAGGGCGCCAGCATCATTCTAGTTCACAACTAAAGAAAAAAATAACACTAAGGAAAAACAAATGAATATAAAGGCAGCTGTAAAAAGCATAACATGGAGAGTTTTTATTACCTTCATGCTAAAAAAGACTAAATTATTTCTTAAAAGATATATTGATATATTTATTTGAAAGAGCAAGAGAAAAACAGAAAAATCTTCCATCTGCCAGCTTAATCCCCAAATGCCCACAACAGCCATGGATGGGCCAGGAGCCAGGAGCCAGGAGCCAGAAACTCCATCCAGTTCTCCCATGAGGATGGCAGGGGCTCAAGCAGTCCAGCCACCATCTGCTGCCTCCCAGGCATATGAACAGGAAGCTAGATGTGAAGCAGAGTAGCAGGGACCTGGACCAGACACTCTGATACAGGATGTAGATGTCCCATGCAGCAGCTTAACCCACTGTACCACAACACCTGTCCCTAAAATTTTATTTTGCTAGAAAAAATTAGTTTTGCCTCATCACGTTTATTATATAAAATATTTAAGGCAGTAACTGTTAACAGGAGTTTAGTAGTTTTCTCTGACAAGAAAGTAACACTACTTAAGAATTAGCAGGTCTACCAGTCTTCAAGAGATTTGCTATTGGAATTAAACTTGCTAAAACCTTGAATTGAAAGATGCTAGATGATTTCACACACTGGAAACAACATATAACTACAAAACAGACAATCTGGAGCTACTTAAGAAGCAATGAAGAGTGACCACATTTGGCACAGCAGTTAAGACACTGCTTGGGACCCCGCATCCCAGTAGGAATGCCTGGGTTCAAATCTTGGCTCCACTTTCTTTTTTTTTTTTAATTTTTTTTCATTTAATAAATATAAATTTACAAAGTACAACTTTTGAATTGTTGCGCCTTTTTTCCCCATAACCTCCCTCCTACCCACAACCATCCCATCTCCCACTCTCTCTCCCATCCCATTCTTCATCAAGATTCACTTTCAATTATCTTTATTACAGAAGATCAACTTAGTATATACTAAGCAAAGATTTCAACAGACTGCACCCACACAGACACACAAAGTATAGAGTACTGTTCGATTAGTAGTTTTACCGTTAATTCTCATAGTACAACACACTAAGGACAGAGATCCTACAGGGAGAGGAGGTGCACAGTGACTCCTGTTGTTGATTTAACAATTGACACTCTTATTTATGATGTCAGTAATCACTCGAGGCTCTTGTCATGAGCTGCCAAGGATATGGAAGCCTCTTGAGTTCACCAACTCTGATCTTATTTAGACAAGGCCATAGTCAAAGTGGAAGTTCTCTCCTCCCTTCAGAGAAAGGTACCTCCTTCTTTGATGGCCCGTTCTTTCCACTGGGATCTCATTCATCGAGATCTTTCATTCAGGTCATTTTTGCCACAGTGTCTTGGCTTTCCATGCCTGTAATATTCTCATGGGCTTTTTAGCCAGATCTGAATGCCTTAAGGGTTGATTGTGAGGCCAGAGTGCTGTTTAGGGCATTTGCCATTCTATGAGTCTGCTGTGTATCCTGCTTCCCCCGTAGGATCATTCTCTCCCTTCTAATTCTATCCTTCATTATTTGCAGACACTGGTCTTATTTGTGTAATCTCTTTGACACTTAACCTATCTTTTTGATCAATTATGTACTTAAACTGATCACTTTAACAAGTGAGATGGCATTGGTACATGCCTCCTTGATGGGACTGAATTGGAATCCCCTGGCACATTTCTAGCTCTACCATTGGAGGTAAGTCTGAGTGAGCATGTGCCGAGCTGTATATCTCCTCCCTCTCTTATTCCCACTCTTATATTTAACAGAGATCACTTTTCAATTAATTTTAAACACCTAAGAATAATTGTGTATTAATTAAAGAGTTCAACCAATGTATTAAGTAGAACAAAAAAAATACTAAAAGGAATAAAATAGTAAGTTGTTCACTGACAGTCAGGACAGGGCTGATGGGGTCATTGTTTCGCAGTGTCCGTTTCACTTCGATTGGTTCCACTTTGAGTCTCAGTGTCCTGCTGAAACACCCTGGATGCAGCAGTGCTGGCTCAAATACTCGGGTTCCTGACACAGACCGAGTTCCAGGATTCTGGCTTCAGCCTGAATTGAATGCATCTACATCCCAGCCCTGCCTATGGGGGGCATTTGAGGAGCAAACCAACAGACTGGAGATCTCTGTCTTTTTCTGTGCTCTCTGCTTTTCAAATAAAATGGAAATAAGTAAAAATGTAAAAAATATAGCAATGAAAGGACCACAATTATTACTAAAATGCAAATTTGGTGGCCACAAATCTTAAGCTCCTAGAATTAAAGGCTGAATGTGTTACTAACGCCTGGCTCTGCTCAGAATTACACTGTAAATAGCATGATACCCACAATCCAGTGAGCTTATTAGGTTGCATTCTTTTTTTTTTTTTTTTTTTTGACAGGCAGCAGAGTGGACAGTGAAAGAGAGAGAGAGACAGAGAGAAAGGTCTTCCTTTGCCGTTGGTTCACCCTCCAATGGCTGCTGCGGCCGGCGCACTGCGGCCGGCGCACTGCGCTGATCCGAAGGCAGGAGCCAGGAGCTTCTCCTGGTCTCCCATGGGGTGCAGGGCCCAAGCACTTGGGCCATCCTCCACTGCACTCCCTGGCCACAGCAGAGAGCTGGACTGGAAGAGGGGCAACCGGGACAGAATCTGGTGCCCTGACCGGGACTAGAACCCTGTGTGCCGGCGCCGCTAGGCGGAGGATTAGCCTGTTGAGCCGCGGCGCCGGCTAGGTTGCATTCTGTTTTTGAAGGAATCTAAGGAAAAACATCAGATTCTTCACTAAGCCTGTTTAATTATACTTCTACAATGGATTACTTCATGGAAATAGAATCAATTTATAAGACAGGCAGTTTAAAAAGCAGGCAAAATTCAAGCGGCTAGACCTTTAGGGAAAAAAATACTTTCAGTGACCAAAAAATATAATAAGCAAGTGGAAAATATTCTCATATAATAATGCATTACTTCATCACATGAAACTCATCAGATGCTCCTTATAACACTCCATGTTTTTCCATCCCAAGTCATATGATACTCTAAATGTTTTATCCTACTATAATCTGTCATGTAATGTTATCGTTGGCTACTTAGTAATATGTAACTAAAAACAAGATAATCTCTATCATCTCTTAGTTTTTTGTTGTTGTTGTTGTTTTTTAAGAGTCATTTGGGGCCGGTGCTGTGGCACAGGAGGTTAATCCTCTGCCTGCGGCGCTGGCATCACCAGCATCACATGTGGGCGCCGGTTCTAATCCCGGCTGCTCCTCTTCCAATCCAGATCTCTGCTGTGGCCTGGGAAAGCAGTAGAAGATGGCCCACGTCCTTGGGCCCCTGCACCCACATGGGAGACCAGGAAGAGGCACCTGGCTCCTGGCTTCAGATCGGCACAGCTCTGGCCGTTGCAGCCATTGGGGAGTGGACCCACAGATGGAAGACCTCTCTCGGTCTGTCCCTCTTACTGTCTGTAACTCTACCTCTCAAATAAATAAAATCTTTAAAAAAAAAAAGTCATTCAAATTAGCCCAGATGAATTAGCAATAATTTTTGTATGCCACTGTTATTGGTAGAACGTTGGTCTGGGTTATAATCAATACCAAATATTGATGGGAACAGTGAAGATAATCACATGGAAAAATAGTAATAAAAATGTTACATATATATGTATTGAGATATCTAATTTTTGGGGGTAAAACCTGATTTCAAGAAGTGAGTTCACTGAACAGCGTGCCTGCTGTGGAGGTGCCATCCAGTCCCACAGGCCCTCTCCAAACCTGGCTGCCCTCCTGGGCCACAGCTGCTCCGTCCCACCACGCCTGACTTGAATGCCACGCCCTCCAGCACAGCCTCAACTGCCAACCTTCAAACTGCAATTTCACATGAGCCAGAGATACAGGGTTAACCACTGTCTGCCTCATAGTTGGGTCATTTTCATTTCAAATCTATAAAACTGCAAACCCTTCTCTAGGCAAACCCCACGTCACCACATTTATAGTCATTCATTGAGCACTTCTGAACCCTCTGAATTCTGCATTCTTTTGTGGATTGCACCACATAAAGCACACAGGGAAACTTTTTCTAGTAAATGCAAGAGAGACACTAACTTGTTAGCCCTCCTAGATGCAGGGATGTTAGGACAGTTACTGCGCTTGTGACCTAGTTCACCACAAATAAAGCAGCCGTCTTTGGGGCCCTCACAGGAATGATCCGGGACAGTGCAGTGGTTGCAGGTGCTGCAGTGGATCCAGGCTAGAAAATACAAAGCAAGTTTCAGAAGAAGTTCAGTTAATCAGAGTGTTTCACTTCACTAACATGGAAGGCAGGATGCAGGAGTCCTGCCTACTTCAAACATTACAGCCGGTTAGCTTAGCGCGTCTGACTTTGGCTACAGAGACCTAGGTGAAGAACTGCAGTGCCACCTAACCTGGCTAACTTACTCCTGTTACACGGCAACAAATCCAGCCCTTCCCCAAAGCATCCTGAGCTGACAGCCACGTCACAGGGGAGGCTGGCTATTAAATTCAGTCAACCCGGCGCCACACTGACACAGGTGAGCAGCCATCAATCCTGATGAAAGACAGACGTGTGTCTGGGTAAAACTCAAAAATCATTTAGTGCCTGTCTCCACAGTAGTCACATTTGCTTTTAGAAATACATATACTTAATTAAATAACTCCACATGTGCTCCTAGGATCCCGGTCTCAAAACTTACAAGGCTTCACACACTTTTTGCAGAGAAAGCAATGGTTCCATTTCCTGCCATCCTACAAAAACAATTTTTAAATTACATTTAATTTGTTATTAAAAATCAAGTCCCACAATTAAAAATTAAAATGTCTTATTAAAACCCGTGTAAATTATTCATTCCTTATTTCTTCCTTTCTCGGGCTTCACAATTAAATACTTTGATTTTAATTTATGCATTTCTCTACTCAGCTCAAATGCCTCCTTGATGGGCCTCAATTTCCTTAACTGTAAAACCAGGAAATTTATCTAAATGATCTTGAAAATCCACTCAGTTCAGGCAATCCAATCTGTGCAAAGAAGGGCTCAAATGAAAATTTCAGGAGAATTAATGATTCATAATTTCATGTGTCTATACTGCTTAATCCTTAATGAAATTCATATTTGAGAATTTTATGTAATTTAGGAAGATAAATTACAGGTTACTGATTGAATACTTTTCAGGTGGTGAAATAAAATACACCTAGAAAAGCACATAAAACATCCATGTCCAATTTAATGAGTATTATAAAGCAAACACTTCATAATGAAACCCACCAGGTCAAGAAGTAAAAGAGCAACGGTCCCTGGCAACTGCCCACACGCTCCTTCCCGACCCCGCTCTGCTTTCTGTGACAGTCACTTCCTTGGTCTTGTTTATTTTTCCACCCATGCATGCATCTCTAAGTAATAAAGCTTTGTTTTGTACAATTTTAAAAAAGCTGGGCACACTATTTTAAAATTCTTAAAGGAACTGAAAATATTACAGGACTTCAAAAAGTTCATGGAAAAGTCAAATTAACAAACATATTTGTTTTGATGCAAAAAATGTCAAAATCCATGCATAATTTTTCCTTAATATGCATTTTTGTGAACTTTTTGAAGATCCCTTATATATATAATCAGATGGGTTACCATGGTTAAAAACATATATAAACTAGTAATAAAGTTATATAATTATGAAAAATGTGCTTTCTAGTATTTATATAAACATAGCCTTTTCTTTGGAGAATGATTTGTGCTTAATGGCCAAAGTTAAAGTTCACATTCTTTCTTTCCAGATTTAGTTAAACCTGGGGCAGCTTAACGCCCTCCTTTGGATGCCTGTGTCCCATCCTGGAATGCCAGGGTGCTTCTGCTCCTGCTCCCTCCTAATGGGCACCCTGGGAGGCAGCAGATGTCCGCTCAAGGACTTGGGTCCCTTCCATCCAAGGGGAGATGTGGATGGAGTTCTGGGCTCCTGGCTTCAGCCTGGCCCAGCCCTGGTTGTTGTCATTTGGGAAATGAAATCAGCAGATGGAAGATTACTCAGTTTCTCTCTTTCTCTGGCTCCTTGCCTTTCATATAAAAGGAAAATAAATATTTTTTTAAAAGGGCAACTTAAAGGTCATCCTACCTTCCTAGAAATAGGAGGGTTATTCACAATTGCCCAAACCTGGAAGCCATCAAGATGTCCTTTAGTGGGTGAACAGGTGACAAACTGTGGTACACAGACAGGGGAAAGTTGTCTAACACCAACAAGAAATGAGCCATGGAGGAACCGTAAATGCCTATTACTACTAAGTGAAAGAAGTCCATCTGGAAAGGCCATGTACTGTGTGATCCCAACCACACCACATTCTGGAAACGGCACCTATGGAGACAGCAACAAGAGCAGCAGTTGTGAGGAGTTGCAGGGCGGGGAGGACGGGTGGGTGGGGCAGATTCTCAGTGAGCAGCCCAGGGAAAGGCCTCTGTGAGACACAGTGACGGGTCCAGGTCATCACACATCTGCCCTAGCCCATGGGACCCACAACAGCAACAGGAAACCCTGATGTAAACAACAGACTCTGGGGCTTAACGGGGCCATGCTGGCTCATTAACTGTAACAAAAGGTCCTCTGATCGGAGATGTAGATAACGTGGGAGACTACCTGTGTGCATGGGCCAAAGAGTTGGAAATTTCTGTAGCTTCTGTTCAAATTTTGCTGTGGTTCTAAAATGGCTCTGAAACAATAAAGTCTATTAAGAAAAAGCGATGTCTAGATAAATACAAGAAACAGCAAGGATGTGTCTTGCAGTCCTTCCACATCTGTAAAAAGCCAGCAGCCAGCTGTAACCACCTAAGAAGACTACTGTGAGGATTAAATGAGTTAATCCCCATAAAGCTCTTCGGATAGAGCCTGGCACATAAAAAGTAAATGGTATATTTATTAATTACTATTTCATCAGAATGGCGATGGTATCTAACAGTTCAAAGCCTTATTTAAAATTTCATAATTCTGCCTTCACCATACATATGAATTTAGAACTCATTTAGTGCCTTCTTTGAGAAAGAATTTTAGCTGTCATATAGTACCATACAAAGATGAATTCAAATTGATGATGATGAAGGCAAGTAAGTATACTTCTTAAATATTTATTTATTTGAAAGGCAGTTACATAGAAAGAGAGAGAGTTCTTTCATCTGCTGGTTCATTTCCCAAATGGCTGCAATGGCAGGTGCTGGGCCATGTAAGCCAGGAGCCTGGAACTCCATCCAGGTCTCCCCTATGGGTGCCAGGGACCCAACCATGGGGGCCATCTTCCACTACTTTCTCAGGGGCATTAGCAGATGGCTGGATCAGAAGTTGAGTAGCCAGGACGCAAATTGGCACCCATATTGGTATCACAGGTGGCAGATTAACCTGCTACGCCCACAGTGCTAGCGTCAGTGAGTGTACTTTTAAAAAGCCTGTTGTAATCTATAATTAAAAATAAACTACAGTATTGTACTGAAATGTGAGTAATAAATAACATATATTAATGCAAATTGTAATGTCAAAATAGCAATTAAAATTTTAGTGAAACTAGTAAACTAGATTAAAGCTAAAAATAAAACATATATTTAAATAAAAACGCATTCTGTAAAAAAAAATCATACCTTGGATGAGCAAGAATTACAGTGTTCACAGTGCTGATTCTCCGTAGAAACATAACGTTGACACAGAGGGCAAAACCTAAAGACAAAAGAAATGGAAATCAGCTACATATATTTATTGAGATTCAGAGTAAAAGTTTACAAGGCAATGGTTACAAAAATTGGCCATAATCAGTACCCAATTCAATATGCAATCATGAACTAAATTTAATGGGAGAACGGTATGATTCGACACGGCAAACATTTCACTCTGAGACATACTGCTCAGGAATTTACTGTCAGTGATCCTATTAAGTCCCACTGTGAGCTTACCTGTACCCCTCCTCCGTGGGAAGGATTATTTTGCTGGGTGGGATGTTTGTGAAAATACGAACAGGAGACTGTTTTCGACCTGTCTTTCCATGTTTATAGAGCGCATGATTGTCATAGTCTACCTACAAAGTTTAAAATTAAAGCAAAAAGAAAATTTACTCCAATGAGTCAACATCATTACGATTCTTTAACCAACTGATGCCAAGATACAAGTTAAACGCGAGTATTTAATAAGAAATTCTTAAGGGCCAGTGTTGTGGCCTAGTGAATAAAGCCGCCACCTGTGGGAGACCCAGAAGAAGCTCCTGGCCCCTGGTTTCAGTCTGGCCCAGCAATACTTGTGACCACTTGGGGAGTGAACCAGCAGATGGAAGATTTCTCTCTGTCTTTGTCTCTTTCTCTGTGTCTTTCAAATAAATAAAAATAAATCTTTTAAAAAGCCAGAGTTTACTTATTAATCAACAGACTCAGAAAGGCTTTTATGGCATTTACATAAAAGGTAAATAAAATTTGTCATGACAATTTAAGAATTAAGAATTTAGTTTTTTTGTGTTAAAAGCGCTTCTGGCTGGGAAGATGTGTGCCAGCTTGGCGGAGGTCTCGTATTTCTGTGTGTGAGGCTCACTGGGCCTCAGCCATGGGCTCCCCACTGCCTCAGCACTGTCCTCTCACATTCTGCAGAGCACAGGTCTGGGGGCCAGACGGGCTCAACCACTGGCTGGCTGACCTCAGGCGAGTTTACACTCCCTAAAGAAAGGGTCCCTGACACTGAATGCTCAAGTTGCTGGGAAGCCTACAATGAGCTCAAGTACAAGTACATAAAACACTGAGTTCAGGGCTTGGAATAAAGTAGGAGATGGAGATGAGGGGAGAAGTTCATCACAACGGCTGTTTATCCCTAATGAGCATTTCAATCATTTACTTCTCCCCTCAAGATCCCTAATTCAACCTTCAGTTTTAGCAGATGGTCTTGAAAGTAAACAACTCCTTCAACCTATTATCCACACATTCTCAGTTTGGCTTCTAGCCTGCAGTGAATCCACCTGGCCACTACATCCATCTTTCTTTAGATCAGTCATTCTCCAGGTATGGCATCTGGATCAGCAACATTGGCATCACCCAGAATCTTGTTATAAAAGCAAATTCTCACCCCACCTTGGATGTAGTGAATTGGAAACTTAGGTAGTGGGACCCAGCGATCTGTATTTTACATGGCATGCTGAAGTTGGAGAACCACTACTTTAGATAACCCACAAAGATACACGAGGGGCAGGCACTGCAGCACAGTGGTTAAGCCACAGTGTGGGAGTGCTAGTTCAAGTCCCAGTTACTCTGCTTCCAATCCAGTTTCCTGCTAATGTGCACCTTGGGAGGCAGCCGGTGATGGTTCAACTGCTTGTACCTTCGCCACGCACATGGAGACCAGATGGAGTTCTAGGCTCCTGGCTTCAGCCTGGCCCAGCCATGGCTGTTATAGGCATGTGGGGAATGAACCAGTGGAAATAAGATACATTTCTCTCTCTCTCGTTCTGCGCTTCAAGTAGATGAAAATAAATATATAAAAATAAATATAAAAAAAGAAGACATGTGACTTTTATGATACCAACTCAGGCAGATCCCAGCTTTCCAGTAAGTGTTAATGAACTGTTTATTTTTTTAAAATATTTTTTATTCATTTATTTGAAAAAGTTACACAGAGAGAGGAGAGGCAGAGAGAGAGAGAGAAAGAGAGAGAGAGAGAGAGAGAGATAGAGAGAGGTCTTCCATCGCTGGTTCACTCCTCAGTTGGCTGCAACAGCCAGAGCTGCGCTGATCCGAAGCCAGAAGCTTCTTCCAGGTCTCTCATGTGGGTGCAGGGGCCCAAGCGCTTGGGTCATCTTCCACTGCTTTCCCAGGACACTGCAGGAAACTGGATAGGAAGTGGGGCAGCCAGGACTGAAACCAGCACCCATATGGGATGCCAGCATCGCAGGCAGCACTACTCCAGGATGCTGGCCCAGCTCTTTAGATCCTAAGTGGGAATACACTTAGCAGCTACAGCACAACCGGCTTCTGAGTCAGCCATTTAATAATCAAATCACAAAAAGGGTAGGGAATTGATGACAAGGAAAAGAGACGCCTTTAGTGGCAGATTCCTAGGCGCTCTCTATGGCGTTGTGTAGTTTAACCCCAATGGCTAGGCCTGCAGGTGGACAGATAAGCTTCAGCAGTGGAAAAAACAGTGCAGGATGAGAATACCCAAGGACAGGGTGAACAGCTCCCCAGGTGTCAGCATGTGAGACCACAGCCCCTGTTAACTGTGCAGAAGGAGGCTGGGGCTCACAGCCAGCATGCATGGGAGAGCAGTAGCTAACAAGGGCAGCAGGGGTCAGCCTCAGCCCGAGTCCTGCATTCTCACTACAGTTTTAAGAGAGACCTTAATAAAACTAGTTCACTTCTACCGCAACGGAAATGAGTAAGATTTACACTTGAACAAACTGGGGTGTGTGTGTGTGTGTGTGTGTGTGTGTGTGCTGCTTATTCAGAAAATAGAAGGGTGGGAGGAGCTGACAGCTGAAAGGGTGTCACAGGAACAGGAATTAGACTTCTGCTGTCTAATTACCTTAGAGAACAGAACTAGGACCAATAGTTAAAAGCTGATGGGGAGCATATTTTATCTCAATATGAGAAAATCTGCTAACGATTACAGCCATTAAGTAAAGCTGAGTGTTCAAGTGAGCCGGGGCGACTGCTCAGCGGACCCCGGGTGAGCTGGCCTCCACATTCCTCGCCAGCTTGCCGAATTCTAAAAGTAGGCTCCCTACTAGAGGTGAAGACACAAACACACGGTTCACTTCAAAATCATCTTAAAACAGCACTGTAAGTTGTTTCCTTTTAAAATTAAATTCCATGGACCTGCGCTGTGGTGTAGTGAGTAAAGCTGCTGCCTGCAGTGCTGGCATTCCAAACAGATGCCGGTTCCAGCCCTGGCTGCTAAACTTCCAATCCAGCTCCTTGCTGACGCACCTGGGAAAGCAGGGAAGACCCTGGTTCCTGGATTCAGCCCGGCCCAGCCCTGCCCACTGCAGCCATTTGGGGAGTGAACCACCTGACAGAAGATCTCTCTGTCCCTCCTCTTTCTGTAACTTCACCTTTCAAATAAATAAATCTTTTAAAAAATTGTTTAAATTTACAAGTTTTCCCTAATGCACTCTTCTGTATACTCAACAAATACGTAGTACCTTATTAAAGTCAACAAAGATTCTTTCAACATTTGAGTGTCTAAGACAGAAAAGAAATCCTCCCTAAGAGAATCTTAGATTTTCCAATGTTGGAAAGGAATATTTTTAGAAAGGTTTCTAGCGCATAGAATATGCAATATAATAGATAGCAGATGGCAGATGGGGCAGGGGGGTGGGGGTCGAGAAACAGGAATAACTTTATGGTTACCCAAGGAGCCAGAGAACGTATGTATCAGGAAGGGGCTTACTTGATTTCGCATAACCTAATTGAGATTATTATTATTTTTAAATTCGGGTTTGCGTGCCACTTAACGATAAACATATGGTATGTAAAACACATGCTGGTAGGGTAAATTAATGTACCTCTAACATACATCCGTATTTCATAGCTCCATCCACACAAATAAACCTCCTATGGAAGTGCTATAAAGCAAACACAATTTTGCAAATTGCTTATCACTAGTGGTAGAGCTGATACGCCATTTTCCCATCATTATCCCTGACATTTTACTCACAATGATGATGAGAGGCATTTTCAAATAGAAAATTTCTCCCATGGAACTGATTAATGTGATGAAGTACTGTATAGAAATGAGGGAAAGCACAAAATCTCTGCAATCCCCAACTTTTATCTGTATGCAAATGTCTTCTGTAACAGGAGACTGAAACAAGCTAAATGGGGAACAAGGCATTCAGTCAACAAACACTGATTCTGCACCTACTATGCTCCAGGCATCGCCAGGAAACAGAGGGAATATGATCAGAGCACTTGCATCTTCACAAGTCTCTAGGGACTGTGCTAGATTCAGCGTCAGGATCTGAAAGGGTCTCAGGTGCACTGGGGGCTCCATCAACCAGCTTGCATCACAGCAATAAGGTCTTTTTTGTTTTGTTTTGTTTTTTTACAGGAGGAGCGGACAGTGAGAGAGAGAGAGAGACAGAGAGAAAGGTCTTCCTTTGCCGTTGGTTCACCCTCCAATGGCTGATCCAAAGCCAGGAGCCAGGTGCTTCTCCTGGTCTCCCATGTGGGTGCAGGGCCCAAGGACCTGGGCCATCCTCCACTGCACTCCTGGGCCACAGCAGAGAGCTGGCCTGGAAGAGGGGCAACCAGGATAGAATCCGGCGCCCTGACTGGGACTAGAACCCGGTGTGCCGGCGCCGCAAGGCGGAGGATTAGCCTAGTGAGCCACGGCGCCAGCCAGCAATAAGGTCTTTAAGTCGTAGTCCCACTACTCCATACAACCTAGTTAAAAGTATTACATAATAGCTTCCTCCTGTTCACTCAAAACCATTGTTGTATATTTACTATAGACTGAGTTCCCTACATTTCAATCATCTTTTGATCTACACTAATTTTCCAGAAATTTCTGGCAAAATATCTTCATTTCTGATTGTAAACCTAAGCTTGAAAAATAGTTTCCTACAGAGGCTTACTTTATTTTTTTTCTAATTTTTATTTAATGAATGCATTTTTACATAGCTACAACTTTAGGAATACAGGGGTTCTTTCCCCCCATACCACCCCACCCCAGGCTCCCATCTCACCTCCCTCATCCCATCTCCGTCTTCATTATGGTTCATTTTAGTATGACTTTATATACAGAGGACTAACTCCATGCTAAGCATAGACTTCAACAATTTGCACCCACGTACACACACAACATATACAGTACAGTTTGGGGAGAGAATTTGCAGTCGATTCTCGTATTACAACTCAACAGGGACAGAGGTCCTACATGGGGAGCAAGTGCACAGTGACTACTGTTGTTCCTTTAACAATTACCACTCTTTTTTTTATTACATCAGTGATCATCCTGAAGTAGGCAGGCATACAGGCTAAAACTGATCAGATTTGTGAACTGGAAGACCATGCCTTTGCCACGCCCCTGTGCAGCCTCATTCCCCTACCTGGCCACACCTGGATGCCCACCAGCCAATCAGGTTAATTAACCACTCCCTTTTGGAAGTGGGTTAAAAGCCCTCCCCCCTCCCCGCCCCGCCTCTAGCCAGGAGGGGGCTTGCTGTAGCCCCCTGCCTCCATATTAGGCAAGAATCCTCTTGGGGATTTAGTAATCCTCGGGGATTTAGTAATAAGCCCATGGTGAAATCGTATGGCACCCCAAATTCCAGTAGCATATGTGTCACCCCAGATAGCATTTCTAGGGAACTTTAAGGGGCCACATTTTAGTGTAGATTTTAGGGGGTCTTTTCTGATTTCAATCCGAGGCTCTTGCCGTGGACTGCCAAGGCTATGGAAGCCTTTTGTGACCATAGACTCCACCGCTGTTTGGACACGGCCATAAGCAAAGTGGATGTTCTCCTCTCCCTTCAGAGAAGAGTGTCTCCGTCTTTGATGACCCTTTCTTTCCTCTGAGGTCTCACAGAGATCCTCCGTGTAAGATATTTTTCATCAGAGTCTTGGCATTCCATGCCTGAAATGCTCTTGCAGGCTTTTCAGCCCGACCAGGAAGACAGGCTTACTTTAGAAAAGAACAGTTTGGTAAAAAACAAAGGGTTCTACCTTAACTCTCAGGACAATTGTCCCACATTCAAATAGAAACAAGAGTACAATGTTCAAGGTGTGAGATCATCTCATTAAGATATGGTAAATACAGGCCATTGTCTGTCCCCTGCCAGACATCACTAATCAATCATATTAGTTGTCATTGAATCTCAACAAATTCTCCAGGAAGTCACTAACAATTTATCAGACTAGGTACTAAAAGTGAAACTTATTTGCCATTCCCTCTCTAGTTCAATTAGTTGATTTCATAGGCAAGGAAACAGAGACCTGGAAAGATAAAGTCTCCTCCTCCCAGATTAAACAGCTTCTTAGAGGCAGAGCCAGCACTCTGACTCTGACTCGGAATCAGAATTTCTCTTCATTATCACATTCCTCCTAATCTGCCCTTAATAAAACTCTGGTCTTTCTAGGCCTTTGATATAACCATTTTATCCTGCACTCATCAAGTGCTTTATCACTGAAAAGCCTGCATAATTTATACCCTGTGAAGATTTCCAGCATTTCTACCCTCCTCTTACCTGAAAAGTATTTCCGAAAGAGACTTAGTGATTTGGGGCGTTTGACTGCATTGTGGTTTGGGGACTTATAATCATCTTAGGCAAGGTCAGAAAAAAGCCTAATCAAGGTCTATAGGAAAAGTCTGTGAAGGAGACGGGAGCCCTTCAGATTTTTCATTTGATGAAGAAGGCTAATGTAATAGAAAAAAAAAAGTATCATAAAATGAAGTTAAAGTAACACAAGAAAGAAAAAGAAGAAAGCAAAAGGTTCAGAGAAGAAGAATAATAGGTTCAGGAAAATTTTCAAAAATTTAAAAAAACTAAAATAGAAAAATCACCAAAGGGGTGTTACAACAAATAATATTTATAAATACATTTACATTTATAAATCTGTTTCTCCAACATGAGCATGTAATTGGCAGTGCCATTCTTAACTTTTAATAGCAATCATGAAAACTTTTTTTTTGATAGATTTTATTCTCATTTTCATTTCAGAGGTTGGCTTTCTTTTTCTTTTTTTTTTTTTTTTAAACAGGCAGGCAGAGTGGGCAGCGAGAGAGAGACAAAGAGAAAGGTCTTCCTTTACCGTTGGTTCACCCCCAATGGCCACTGCGGTCAGCGCACCGTGCTGATCCAAAGGCAGGAGCCAGGTGCCTCTCCTGGTCTACCATGCGGGTGCAGGGTGAGGTTGGCTTTCACTTTATGAAAAAAAACTTTCACCATCAGACACACATGATCCAGTGAGAACCTCTGTCCGCCAACACACTGACTTGTATAATTATTTTCAATAAGCTTAGACTTTGCAACAACTTCCAGAGCTGGAGTTCTGGTGTAATGCCTTGAGCCCCCACTTGAGATGCCCACATCCTATATCAGAGTGAGTAGCATCAAGTCCCACCTCTGCTTCTGATCCAGCTTCCTGCTAATGTGCAATCTAGAAAGATAGATGATGGCCCAAGTAGTTGAGTTCCTGCTACCCATGTGGGAAACCAGGACTGAGTTCTGATCTCCTGACTTCGACCTACGATAGCCCTGTTGCAGGTATTTGGGGAGTGAGCCAGTGGATGCAAGATCTCTGTCTTTCAAATAAAAACAAAATAAATAAACTAAAACAACTACAATATTTCTAAACATTCTTTTCTAAGTAACACAGGCCATCTAACAAGCAATAGCTGGTCACTCCACATTCATCTCTCTCAGCCATGGTATTTTTTTTTCTTTTAGATTTTTAAGTATTTATTTGAGAGGTAGAGTTACAGTGAGAGGGAGTGACAGAGAGAGGTCTTCCATCTGCAGGTTCACTCCCCAGATAGTCACAACAGCTGGAGCCGGGCAGATCTGAAGCTGGGAGCCTGGAGCTTCTTCTCGGTCTCCCATGAGGGTACAGGGGCCCAAGCACTTGGGCCATCCTCCACTGCTTTCCCAGGCCATAGCAGAGAGCTGGATTGGAAGAGGAGCAGATGGGACTAGAACCGGTGCCCATATGGGATGCTGGCTCTGCAGGCCTCCGCTTTAGCCCCCGCAGCCATGGTATTCTACATCTGCCTTCTTGTGCCCCTCTCCAGCTCATACTCTTGCCCACAGTTAAAAGGCTCTTCTCTAAATGTGTGTGCAATGGTTTCTGAGGGGGTTTGTGTTATGCAATTTTAATGTCTCGGAGGCTATATATATATAAAAAGGACCTGAGTTTTACCCCACCTTGGGACTATCTGAGTGACAGCAATGCCTATGACAGTAAGCTTTGCACTGACCATGCGCTAAGGACTGAGCTAAGCATTTTCATGTAATAACTCATGAAATCCTTAAAACCTCATGAGACAGATATATTATCACTGTACTCATTGGTCAGATACAATGAGCTTCAAACAGGTCAAGTAAGTAGCAGAATCAGGATCAACACCCACTCCAGAGTTCCTACTCTTTTGTGCTCAGCTACTCAATGGACATGTTTGAGGCACCTCTTGTACGCCAAGCATTGCACTAAACGGTTAGTCCCTGCCAAAGACAGCAGTGCTGCTGGAAGGTGGAACCAGCTTACTCAGTTAACATCTTTAGGATATATCAGCTCTCTGAATATTGCAAATGCCAATACTGGAAGCGTCCCTTAGATAAGAACCAGAAAACTGGATGCCCTAAAAAGGACCATAAACCAGTTTTGAGAAGAGTTATGGCAAAGACTTTGCCTGAAGCAGAGCTCGAGAAGCCAGAATTAAAATGAATGGTGCTACACATATTTGGAAAGGAGTCTGTCAATATGTCTCCACAGCCATAAACAATCCATTAAGTTTGATAAAGTAATCTCTATCTTAGAGATCTACTTTAAGGAAGTTATGTAAAATGTGGAAAAACCACAAGCAAGAAAGATGTTTATAGCAGTGTTACTTATAGAACCTTCAAGGGAGAAGAAACCTATAGTCCAAAAAGGGAATGATAACACAGCCTGTCAATGAAATAATGTAAAGTTTATTAAAAGCATAAAGATCAGGAGATTACCTTTAAAAATATTTACTTAATGTAAGACCTTGTGAAGAGAGCAGAATTAAAAATTGTCTCTTATAATTACGAATACATAAAACATACCATTAAAATATTGAAAGTAAATACTTCAAATGTATAAAAACTTGCTGTTTGGGACAGAATTACAGGTAGGGAATTACCCTTCATTTTTGGTAACACTGTCTCTGAGAATTTCAAAAAATTCTCATAACTATATATAACTTTAAGATTAGAAACAAGAGCTGGCTTGCAACAACTAGCGCAGACACTGACAGTTCTAGGACTGAAAGTCTGAAGCCAATGTTCAGAAAACTGTCACTGCAGAAAGAGGAAGCAGAGACCACCCAGTGATGGCCACAACACGCTTAACTGCAGACCCCAAGGAAACAAACACAAGGAAGCACACATGAAGTCCAGGAACAACCTTGATGGACAGAGCAGAGCTACTGGGGACACAGGCCTCTGCTCTTACTGGGCACACAGGAAACACGACAGGCAATGCAATGAGGGAGGAGGACTACTCCTGGCATCCTCTGAGTGACAACCTGAACAGGGGCTGACTTTTATACAACCTCTGAATACACAAACCAGTGTTCACAATGATGAAAGATTCAGTCAGTCGGTCCGAAACCTAGGCTGCCCATCACAATCACTAGGAAGCCTGGTGAAAATGTGTTACTTCCAGTTTTGTCTCTGATTTTGCGTAGGTTTCGTCTGGGACTCAGGAATCCACATTTTTAGTAAGCACCCGAGGGATGACTAATTAGGAACTACTGAACTAAGCTGAGTACGGGATAATTTCAGTGTTTATTACTGAAACACTGTATATCATTAACTAAAATCAGTGGGAAGTCTTATCAGAATATTTATTTAAGCAGAATATCCATTCCTCAAGTAGGTCAGAAAACAGAATTATTTACTATACCTGATAATCCAGCATGGCAAAGCTTGGGAAAAACTGACAAATTCGGGATTCAAAAAAATAGGGGAAAATCCAGAAAATGGGTAGTTCTTTGTCATCTAGTGGAACACAAAAATGGGGAAATAAAATTAGAACATCAACTTGACATTAAAGAAAAAACAAAAATTATAATTGGAAAGCAGACAGCTATAACAGGAAAATTTCTGGTATCAGAAACTGCAATTGTTCAATACACCTACATCTCATACAAAAATAATGTCTACCAGAGTGCCGCTGACAAGCTGACCTTTACGAAAGGTGAACAGAAAGAGTAGCCTACGTCTACACGTAGCTATAGACAATACGTAAAAGTTATCCTGGGGCCGGCGCCCTGGCGTAACAGATAAAGCCACCGCCTGCAATGCCGGCACCCCATACAGGCACTGGTTCGAGTCCTGGCTGCTCTTCTTCCGATCCAGCTCTCTGCTATGGCCAGGGAAAGCAGCAGAGGATGGCCCACGTCCTTGGGCCCTTGCACCCGTGTTGGAGACCCAGAAGAAGCTCCTGGCTTCGGATCAGTCCAGCTCAGGCTGTTGCGGCCATCTGAGGAGAGAACTAGCGAATGGAAGACCTCTCTCTTTCCCTCTGTCTCTCTCTCCGCCTCTGTAACCCTGTCTTTCATAACATAAATAAATAAATCTTTTTTTTTTTAAAGTAATCCTTATATGTTTATTACCATAGCCCATATAAAGTCAAAGATATTAACAAAAAAGTGGAAAACAGGAAGAGTATTACTGTGAAGCAAAAGCGGTCAGGGTGTCACGGACGAAGGCTGGACTGTACAGCAGAGGCCTGGGGTCCACATCCCAGCTCTGCCTAGATTCACTGTGTAGGATTTCACATGAATCAATCCTTGCTGAATCACTGAAGATTCTTAGTCAATCTTATCAAAATTAGTTCACAAGATGCAGGGACATAACTATTATTTAGAGAGCAATAGAGGCCAAGTTAAGTACTATGCTAAATTCCTTCTGTACTCTGTCTCCTTACAATAACCCCTAGAGTCAGATACTAATAATCCCACGTTATAGATGGCGAATCTGAATCGCAACTCATCAGGTTCACGGAGCTCAGAAGTGGCAGAATGGGAATTCAAGTCCATAAAACTCTTTATTGCTTCCCCGATAACTCCGACTTTATCCACTGATTAGTGGACGTAAGAACAGCCAATAAGTGAGACACTTAACAATATGAGTCCCCTTGTAGATTTTGTTTGCATTCTGTTCCCAAGGTGCACTATTTATGTAGCACAATTAAGCAGAAGCTGGATCACACGTGCCTGATACAATATATCAACTCGGAAGCTGGAAACTATCTAAAAAAAAAAAAAATGAGTGTAACAACTAATTAGATCATTAAATAAAACACTCTGAAGTCCTAAGCCACTTTAAACTGAATAATAACTGCCAGCTATTAACCCTCCTCGAGGGCCGGGGAGTCTGTGTGACACTAGCAGTCACTGTTAGCCTCTGGGACTTCCAACCTCCACACGCAGCGCCTGGCAAAGTCTGGAGCTCTGGGTTGGGTGGCCTCTTAAGAGTCCTGGGAAAAACTGCAGGAACACGGGAAGTACGGTCCCTGGGACAGAGATGCCTGCCTTGTTCATTAATATATCTGCAGTATCTAACAGTGCCTGGCACGTGCCTGCCTTGTTTACTAATCTATCCGCAGTATCTAACAGTGCCTGGCACCTATCAGCCACTCAGTAAATATTTACTGAATGAACGCAAGCAGTTCACTGGTATTCTTCATAATGTCTCACTATCCCCTCCAAAAAACAAATATTTTACCTTCAGCCCATTTTTACAATGCATGATTAGGATAATACAAAGTGTATCATGGTAATGAAGTTTGCCACATCATCAACGAGTCTGTTTTTGAAACAGAAGAAACCAGGACATGTACATTCTATCAGTGCTGTGATTCACTGAACTCAGCCAATATTTGACAGGAAGTAGATACACAGATACATGTTTAGTTTGCAGTAAGTAATAAATTACACACCTTGGCTTTGACCTTCTTTCCACATAGCAATTAACTTCTTGAATGTAACAGCCAGAGGTTCAACCAAGCCACCAAAAGGAGGATCTGTCACCATGATGACTCCCTCTCCTTTATCTTCCTGTAAAAACGCTCTGCATACTTCAAGGGCAGCCTAGAACAAACCAAAATCCGTTTCTACATCAGGCCTGGAGGAAGGCACCCACTCTGGAGAATACCTTAGATTCCTCAGACCCAGTTTCACTCTTGGCCCTGGCGACTTTCCCAAGTCCTCCTGCCACCACAGGGTCCCTCTGCAACAGCTAAAGCCTCTTTTAGCCTCCGTAAGATTTTATCTTTGGGTTCCTTGATAAGCGGGCTTTTAAAATTGCAAATGCAAACACCATCACTATCAGAGGGCCACACATGTCAACCGGTTAAATTAAAAACTAAATTTAGTAACCTAAAAGGGAGAAACTCATTATCCATGAAAAACTATCTAAAACATTAAATTCAACAAACAGAACAAACAGAAACCTGAGGACACCGAGAGGAGTAAGACATATTTTCTTCCATCTGTTTCACCCACCACTGTGAATTCAGCTGAGTAACAGCCACAAATTGCCAGTTAAACATGGACGTGCTTTTGAGTGTCAAGTAAGTGACAGGCATATTTGAACATGCACAGCAAGTAAATACGGGAAAGTTCACAGATGACAAAACTTATCCAGTCCATTGCTATTAACAACATTTTCCCAACAGGCTGGTTTCAGTGTTTTAGTAATTACAAAGCTAACATTAACAAGGATTTTTATCATCTTTTACTTTGAGTGAGTCAGTCTACTGACTTGGGAAGAGTTTTCAAGTACTCATCTATAAAAGGGAATCAACACAGTGTACAAAATGGCACAAGATTTTTAAAGTTTAATAGCATTTTAAACTTTAATAAGCCTGTATGTACTTTATAATAAAATATACATTATTCTACTACTAAATCAATTTAGAAGACCCAACTGAAGAGAGAAAAAAATGACAACATCCCAATTCTTTCCCTCGGAGCGTCTTTATTAACTTCCCACTGGACTCCTACTGCAGAGGATGGTGTGTCAAGAAGGTTAATCATTTTTCAAGTGTTCCTGGCACTTTCTTAACCTGCTTACATTAGCAAGGACTTAAAGCACAGATGACAATATTGAAAACTTTCAAACTCCTTAGAAATAAAAGTATAAAAAAAGAAAAACGACAAGTTAAGGATGCCTGAATCCCGAGCCTAGTGTAAAATGTATTAAAGCAGGGCATGAGAAAGGCCGAGAAGCTAAGATGCCCACTTCTCACAGCAGGGTGCTGAGTCTGACTTCCTGCTCCAGGTCCTGATTCCAGCTTCCTGCTAACGTGGACCCTGGGAGCCTGCAGCTATGGCTCAAGCAGTTGAGTCCCTGCCGTCCACGTAGGAGACCCGAACTGAGTTCCCAGGTCCCAGCTTCAGTGGAGCCACAGCCTGGCCATTGCAGGCATTTGGGGACTAAACCAGTGGGTGGGGGAGGTCTGTCTGTAGCACTTTCTGCCTTTCAAATAAGCAACCTAAAAAACATTTGCTTATAAGAGCATTATACTTGACCTTAGCCAAAAGGCTGAGAAGCCTTAAATATGCATTATTTCCAGGTAAGAAACATGGTATAATGGACTGCCACAAGTTGCCAAGGGTGCTAATGCTGACTGCCCGTGGGAAACAGGTGCTTGCATGTACTTGTTGACAGTAACTCGACTCGTTCCTTCACCACCGTTTTCACGATAAAACAGCTTGGCATTTTAACTGACCATCCTCTGTACATACATAAACCCCGCTTTACCATCAGGCATATGACATTCATTTACTACCCTGAAGACTGCATGATTTTCTATGAGAAAATCCCACTCAAGGAACACCTGCTTTCTAACCCAGGGATCTGTACAGTGCATAGGCACTGAGACAGTCTCACATCCTCCAGAGTGCCCTTGACAGCCTCAGAGGCACCCAGTAGACACTGAAATACTTAGTGACTGAGCAGTACACAGTAAATCCCTCCTAAACACTTGAGTCAGGGAGTAGGGCAGACAGTGCAATCATTAGAACAATAGTCTACTGTAGATTATCTCCACAGCTGCAGTGCTAGAAGCTGCTGCTAAAATACAGTCAGGAAAGCCTAAGCTGAAAGGCTGATTTCCCCTGGAAAAGATACGGTGGAGCCATTTATTCTACCCTCAGAAAGTTAATTCCATAAACTTTCAATAATAAGTTACAAAGCCGGCATTGTGGCACAGTGGGTTAAGCTGCCACCTACAATGATTTGGGTCCCGGATGCTCCACTTCTGATTCAGCTCCCTGCTAATGCACCTGGGAAAGCAGTCTATGGTGACCCAAGTACTTGTGCACCTGCCACCCATGTGAGAGACCTAGATGGAGTTCTCTCTGCCTCTGCTTCTCTGTAGCTCTGCCTTTCAAATAAATAAATAAAAATCTAAAAACAAACAAACAAAAAAGCAGCCCCAACTCCCTCACCTACTACTGCCAGTAAAGTAGTGATACAGACCCTACTACTTCCTGACCCTCCCCTGAGCTCAAGGCCTGGCTCTTCCAGCCTGGACACTCCCCCTGCATATCCCACCAGCTTCACAAACTCAGTCTTTCCAAACTCCCCTGCCCTCTGTTTTAAAGACTAAAATTCAAACCCAGGCCACACCACCAAGTCAGCAGTGGCTTCTTCCCCAAGGACACTTAACACATTTCCTTGTTTCTATCTGTGCAATGCCTGCACAACCCACTTCTCTTTTTCTCGCTGCCTCCAGCCTAGCTGAGAAGTCCCTCAAGATGCACTGCCAAGTTTCACCTCCCTGCTCTCCTTGAATTCATCTCATCTGTTCTCAAGTCGAGGGATCTTAACCACATAAAGACCCACAGGAAACAGGGAGACGCTGGAATTCTACCTGCTGTTTATTTCAATGCTTGGTTTTAATAGCTATCACACTACGTCATACATATCCCAACACTAGACTGATTTAAATGGCAGGAATGCTATGATTATACTAAATCAGGAGGCTCATTTTTCAATCCCAACCAACAATTTAGCATTTGTTTTCACTTCCTGAATGCTTACTTAGTCTTGCTTGGCTTTATTCTATCATTAGCAAATAAATATATAGTGAAGCACGGTTCACAATTTTTAAAACTGTATATATGCACATATCTATGGGTATGCTTCACGTTGTGTTGTTGATAATTTCAAAACATTTTTGGGGGCTGGCGCTGTGGCACAGTAGGTAAAGCTGCTGCCTGTGGTGCAGGCATCGCATATGGGCTGGTTTGAGTCCTGGCTGCTCCACTTCCAATCCAGCTCTCTGCTATGGCCTGGGAAAGCAGTAGAAGATGGCCCAAGTCCTTGGGCCCCTGAACCCATGTGGGAGACCCAGAAGAAGCTCCTGGCTCCTGGCTTCAGATCAGCCCAGCTCCGCCATTGCAGCCATTTGGGGAGTGAACCAGTGCATGGAAGACCTCCCCCCCCCACCCCTCTCTCCCTCTATATTTCTCTCTCTGCCTCTGCCACTCTGTAACTGACTTTCAAATAAATAAATAAATCTTTAAAAAATTTTTTTTTGGTCGGCGCCGTGGCTCAATAGGCTAATCCTCCACCTGCGGCGCCGGCACCCCAAGTTCTAGTCCCAGTCGGGGTGCCGGATTCTGTCCAGCAGCCATTGGAGGGTGAACCAACGGTAAAGGAAGACCTTTCTCTCTGTCTCGCTCTCTCACTGTCCACTTTGCCTGTCAAAAAAATAAATAAATAAAAATAAAAAATAAAAAAAAATTTTTTTTGACCAACCTCCTATCAGGTGTGATTACTTGGCTTGGTTATATATTGCATTTTGTAAAAGGACTGATAAAGAATTCAACTTAGGAGTAGGAATACAAATATCAGATCTGCTACATTTTTAATTCTCAGTAACATTATTAACATCAAATTTAAATAATTTTAATGGCCAGTGCCGCAGCTCACTAGGCTGATCCTCCACCTGCAGCGCCAGCACACCGGGTTCTAGTCCTGGTTGGGGCGTCAGTTCTAGTCCCGGTTACTCCTCTTCCAGTCCAGCTCTCTACTGTGGCCCAGGAGTGCAGTGGAGGATGCTTGGGCCCTGTACCCTCATGGGAGACCAGGAAGAAGCACCTGGCTCCTAGCTTCGGATTGGCGCAGAGCACCAGCTGTAGCGGCCATTTGGGGAGTGAACCAACAGAAAAGGAAGACCTTTCTCTCTGTCTCTCTCTCTCTCTCACTGTCTAACTCTGCCTGTCAAAAAAAAAATAATAATTTTAACAATCGTTTAATTCTGCTGTTTTTAAAGGTACTTTAATAAAAGTCTTAATTTTTGGAGCGGTTTTGGGTTCACAAAGATTTGCCATAGGCCCCCCCACCCTGCTCACACACATGCACTTAATATAATATGGGAAACCTCCAAGAGGAGACATGACCTTGTTGGAAGATGAGAGAGAGTTGGAGGAACGGACTTGGAACAGAGCTCTGAAAGATGAGTAGAAGTTGGTATGGATGGCAAATAGAAACAGCCAGAGAGAAGAAGCATGGGCAAAGGCCCCACGATGGCAAGGCATCCGGCAGGTTGGACAGGAGAGCTACGTGCCCTGAGCACAAACAGCAAAGAGGAGAAGAGGGAGAGGACAGGCTGGAAACAGGCAGCAAGCGTCAGACCACAACAGTCCCACGGGCCTGGTGAGAATGTGGCCTGTTCCAAAGGCAGCAAAAATTCATGGAATGGGAATAAAACAGTCACTTCCACCTGCTCAGTAAACATTCAGTGAATGAACAAAAACAAACACCAATAAATGGTAGAAAAACACAAAGGAGATACTTGTTTGCTAAAACAACTGAAGAAAGAGATAATGGTCATAATTCTTACCTTTCCATCAAAGAAATGATGATTAAACATGTTATAATGACAAAAGCTGTCTTCCAAATAGAACTGTGAATACCTGTAAAATAATTCATTTCTGCAGTCACTTGTCCAGTCACAGATATACAGTAAATAACTACACTCTGAGCTGAAATTTAAAGCTATGGAATCACATCTTTAACCAAATAAACTTAATCACTCTTTAGTTTTCTGAAATAAAGAATATTTCCCAAAATTTTCAGGGAATGTGTAATAGTGAATAAATAATGAACTTAAATTATTTCTCCAATCTTGATAAACCAGTGGTAAAACTATATTCACATATAAAATACATGTATTACTTACATTATGCAATGTAAGCTTGCAATGGGTTAGCAATTAAAATATATCTTTCATGGTTAATAATTTTAAGGAAAAAACTAAATCAACATTCTTGCCTAACAGCTGTTAATTATTTTCTTCTGTAGTAAACATAAAAAGAAGTATTTAATACAAAGCTTTTCTTGTTTGATGCAAATTAAATAAAATATGCCTCCTAGTATAAAAAGAAAAAAATTGGTATTTCATATGTATTAAATTTGTGCCAGAAAGAGGAATATTTGTTTACAAAACTTCTTTAAAATACCAACAGTGAAACAAAGTACAAACTTTGGATATTAGCATTTTTATAAATTTTTGCTAATTTCTTAGGCAAAACTCATATAGCACATTATCGTTTAAATCTGCATTTATTTGATTGCTACAAGACTATTTCTTAACTATTTTTGTGCTTCCCATCTGCATATTTTCCTCATTTATGTATATGGGTATTTCTTAACTATTTTTGTGCTTCCCATCTGCATATTTTCCTCATTTATGTATATGGGTCTTAATGACTTTCTTGCAGGTTTCTGGGTTTTTCATGTATTTCAGTAGGATTTGAACTTGGATTACTTCACTATGAAAACTCCACATATTAATCACACCACCATTCTTGGAAATTCATAACCTGGTGGAAGAGTGGGAAAAACAAAACCAGGAACACGTCTTTACATATACGACAGCTGCTCACCATTCTCAGTATAGTATCTGTTAATATCACTTAAGAACTGTTTAACACATCTGCTGATCTTATAAAACATAAATTTGCACTGAAGGAATAAATAAAAAGTTTGGATAACTAAAAATGTGTAAACTATATATTGTAATCTAATGAACTTCCCAGAAACTGTGGGGGCAATGTCAATTATTATGAATAAGTAAATATGTCTTCTTGGTTAACTAAATTTCAATGACCTGATTTTTAACAAAAGCACATCAATGCTATTGCATCCATGGGTGAACTATCACTTGAGGGTTCTCCTCTCTCCTCTATTGCTTGATGAATGCAAATAAAGGAAAACAAAATTCTTTTTTAACACAACAATCAGTTTTAAAAATTAAAAGAGAAATTGTGATTTACATAAATTTCAGCACATCACACCTGTCCAACAAAATATTCTAGGCAGCCTGTGTGCAGAGCCAGAGAGCAAACAAAGCCAAGATTTCAGTTCTGAATTTTCATCAACTACAAACAAGGGAGCAAAATTATTCATATTTTTAAATTATGAAAAGTCACTCAACACTGCCCTCTTAAAATGAAATTGTCCGCAAAGAATTATTCTCTCCATTGAATAAAGCAAACAAAACCAATCAGAAATGCATGCACTTGAAAACTGCTCAAAAGGACATCCATTTAATTTGGTCATTCATTCTCTTTAAATGAGAGCCAGTTACTGAGTTTGAAACATGCCCTGCACACAAGAAATGTAATCAAGAGCTGAATAAAATTAGTTCATAAAATAAACCTAAGAAATTCACTTTTTGATATAACTTTATTAGGATAATAGTTTGCCAGATAGTTTCACATCTTTATGCTAATTTCGGAGCACACAGAAATCCCTCTTAGCAAATGTTAACTTCATATCTTAACCCCCCGAGAAGGAAATTTACAGCACGTCTACGTGAAACACTGAGTTGATGCAGTTCTGTAGCCTCCAGAAGACTTTTCTAGGGCAGTGAGATACCACAGTCAAGCTCCAGAATAACGATTCACTGCCATTCTCCACCACACAGGAATCTGCTCCTGATATAACTGTGGTGTTTGCAAGAAAATCTGAACCAACCAGTACCCCATCAGACTGTAAATACAGGCTACAGCCTGAGCTCTCATTCTGTTAACTAATGCATTTCAATAAACCAGCTCTCTCTTAATACCTAACGTTGACCCTCCACAGAACTCAGCAACAGCTGATGAAAAAACTGAGGCACAATCTCTCAAAAAGAACACCACCAACTTTTGTTTGCAATGAATGCAGAGAAGTTCAAATATATGTAAAAGGAAAAGAAATATCAATATATTACATAAATTATGAATTTATAAACAATTTATTACAAATTTTAAATTTATGTAATAAACAGAGAAGTTCATATGTGTATGTATATATATAAAGAAAATAAGTATCACTATATTCCATGAATTATAAAATAACTTTATCCACATTCTCTACCTTTATCAGCGGACTATATCTAAGAAGGGTAAAGATAAGGCATGGCATTAAAGGTGAAATAGTGAAGGGGCTATATTAACCTTTAAACTTAGAAGTAAATCAGACAAGATGTAAAAAGTTCTAATGATTGGTTAGAAACAATGTAAACATACTTAACACTACTAAACTGGACAATTTTAAATGGTTAAAATGCTAAATGTCCTCTGTACTCCAGCACAATTTTCTTAAAAAGTAAATCAGGACAATGGCAATAAACACTACATACTGAAATTAAGGAATTTCACTTATAATAGCACTAGTAAGAACAAAACATCTAGAAATAAATTTAACAAAAGAAGTATAGGACTGGTACATTAAAACTATAAAATACTGTTTTAAGAAATTAAGAAAAACCTAAATAAATGGAAAGACAGCCCATGTTCACAGACCAGAAAAATTAATAAAGATGGCAACATTACCCAAATTCATCTCCAAATTCAATGTAATCACTGTAAAGAATCCAGCTGGCTTTTTTATACAATAGAAAAACTGATCCTAAAATTTACAAAATTCAAGAAACCCAGAATAGGCAAAATAATATTGAAAAAGACAAAGCTGAAACACTCATACTTTTCAACTTCAAAATTCACAATAAAGCAACAGTAATCAAGACTGTGTGGAACTGACATCAGGATAGACATGGATCGATGGAATAGAACTGAGAATCCAGAAATAAATGCATACTTCTAAAGTCATTTCATTTCTAATAAGATACCACAATAGTTCAATGGGAAAATAATTTTGTCTATAAATGGTGATGGGGCAACTGAATATACTTATGTAAAAGAATGAAGTGGGACCCCTACAAGAGAGAAAAGGCCACACGAGGAGACAGCAAGAAGGCAGCCAAAGGGCACGTGGGAATTAACTTCTTGAGCAACTGTCAAGGAGACAGAAATCAAATTCACTGAAACTTTAATCTTGGATTTCCAGCCTCCAGAACTATGAGGGAATAAATTTCTGTTATTTAAGTTTTTAATATTTTGTTACCCAAGATATCTGATAACATATGTTCACATAAAACTTAAACACAAATAGTTATAGCAGCGTTAGTCATAACAGTCACAAAGTAGAAGCAACCCAAATGTTCATCAACTGATGGATTGTGGGGAGCAGCCCGGACTGGACTGAGTTACTGGAATTAAGAGTTATTCTATGCATCTGCTCTCCCACAATATGGCGCTGGGAGAGAAGTAAACAGCTTCCGCACAGCTGCCTCCAGTTCAACCAATAAACTGTAGGACTTGCTACTGATTGGAGGAGAGCAGCGTACTCGGCGTGTGGGCAGCCGAGTTGGGATTGGCGGAGGAGGACTATAAAGGAGGAGAGAGACGGCATGCACCAGGAACATCTAAGGGGAACATCTAGCTGAAGGGACAGTAGCCAACCCGGGAGGAACCAGCAGCAAACCCGGGGAGGGCCGAGCAGACGAAGGAACAGCGCAGGGTCCTGTGTCGTTCCCCCACGAAGAGGGGGAGCGACATAATGGTGCCGTGACTCGGATAGGAAACCCAGGACGGATATGAAACTTAGGAGGGAGGAAACGGGAGGAAGTGGAAAATATCAGAGAGAGACTAGCAAACAGCCTAGGGAAAAGCGGGACGAAAAAGGTGCCGGAAGAAGCTATTGAAAGCCTAGGCATAGACTCGGATACGGACTACGGGGGGAAGCTGGGAGAAATCTCTAAGGTCGAAAGCGAAAGTGAAAGCTAGAACAAACAGACTCGGATGCGGACTGTGGGGAGAGGCCAGGAGAAATGAGGGAGGAATATTGTTGGAGGAAAGCTTGGGGAAACATACCGGGTAGAGAAAAATGTTAGGGAAATTGAAGCCGCGGGGGGCAGGCCAAGGCGGAAACGAAAGCCACTTTGGGATTCTCAAGTTAGCCCGGGAATGGGGGGCGAAAAGTAGAAACCAGAAGCTGAAACGTAAGCCAGATTGGGATCCGTCTGATTAGCCCGGGGAGCAAAGGACGGGAAGCCAAACCGTGGGGCAGAGACGTATGCTGGGTTGAATTCGCCAGGCTAGCCCGGGGAACTTGGATTGAATGCTAGTGGCGGACACGTAAGCTACGCTGTGTGACTCACGGAGGCTGCCGCGCGCAGACAGAGCGTGCGGGGTTCAAGTACATAGGGAACGCGGGGCTAGCGCGGAGACCGCGGAGTGTGCGCGCAAAGCCGAGCCGCGCAGAGCCGCGAAGCCGCGCAGATGAGAGAGGCGCGGGCTGAAACGGCTCAGAGCCGGAAAGCTGCCGAGAAGCAGCCTCGGGGCGGGCGCAGCCGGGAAGCCACGGGGATAAGAGAAATAGAAGTTTAGAAGTAAAGTGAGAGAAATAGGAATGCTGGAAGATAGAAGTAAAATGGGAGAAATAGGAATGCCCGGAGATAGAGAAATAGAGAAATAGAAAGGCCTCCCCTCAACATGGCAATGAGAAAGCTTGGATTCGGTCTGCCTGATTAAGTGAGGCGATGAGCACCTGCAGCGGCTAGCAGCTTATGCGCCGCAGGTCACCG